TTTACAGTTCTACTGATAACTTACCCTGTTGTTATTCTGAACTTATCTATGAGACTTACATGAAATAATTTATTTATATACAATATGCTTTCTTTTTCTCTTTTTGCAACATATTTCATTGCAGACTATTTTGTACTGTATTAAAAAACACTGAATATAGGTTACTTAGTCCTTTAAGTTTTCACCGTAAAATAAAATTTGATATGAAAATACTCATTTGTGAATCTTTTTTTACAGTGTTATTACTCAGCCATAGCCTTTCGTATTCTACATTATTTTCCTCAATTCTTTAAGTCACCCATATATTTCTTAAAATTTCCTGATTCTGACCTCTAGAAGACCTCCAGCCAGCTTTGGCCACCTTTACCCGCACTATTCATTATCCTTCCTCTAGCAGCAGGAATTTAAAAGCTCTTACTGTACACTGCCTCAAAAATTGATTCCTGTGCTGTTTCACCTAAGGGAGTGTCTCTCCAAAGCAACTAAAAGTCGGTGTACTTCAGACAGTTTTAAGAACTTTCCTTGTAATATTCTTCTTTTTAACGAGGGTGAAGCCTTTGGTTATGTGTAAAGTAAAAATAATGTTTAATGTCCTGTCTAAAGTCATTAATAGGAATTGATTTAATTTCACTGACATCTGTAAGCTTTGAAGTGCCTTCTGAGAAAAGCAGTGCTACTCAACATAAGTATTTGAAGGAGGGTAGGAAGTACTGATAAACACAGTTTTTGAGGCAGTTTGATATTTTTCTACCAGTTAAGGTATTATTTTAGAAATTCTCCCTTAAAATGGGCCAGATCTGTCTGTATGTACATATACATGTTTTAAACTGGATACATAGATCCTGGCTGTCAAATAGAATCATCTGTTACTCTTCTTAACTTTATGTATCTACTTTAGCTTTCTTTCTATAGCAAAATACTTTTGAAAACTGGAGACTATTTTGTTTTTAGCATATGTGCCACATAGTGATATTTTTCCTTTGCATAGATATCTAATTTTAATGGTTAGGTTGAGGTTTAATTTCTGTTGAGTTTCTTCTCATTTAATTTATTACATCACAGATGATTTTGTCTTTATTTCTCTATAATACCCATTGCCATCGAGTTGATTTTGACTTATAGTGACCCTATGGGACAGAGTAGAACTGCCTCATGGAGTTTCCAAGGAGCACCTGGTAGATTCGAACTGCTGACCTTTTGTTTAACAGTCATAGCTCTTAACCACTACACCACCAAGGTTTCCTTCTCCATAATAATTGTGTTTAATTTAAACTTTAAATGAATTCATACAAAAATCATCAAAGTTTAGAACTATGGCTCATCAACATAGTAAATTAAGGAGAGCAACCTCTTTGGTCCGGACAGAAAAGTGCAGCATAATCCCTTCAGTTGCTACTGAAGGACATGGACAAAAGGAAAAAAGAAGAAAAGGAATGAGGGAGTAGTTGAGAAAGGGATGGAAAAAGAACAGAAAGGAAAGACACGTATAGGGAGAAATCGTTGGGAAGACTGGTATCGTGGTACCAGCCGTTGCTACACGCTTCAGCCAGTGCCACATGTATTCATTCAGCACTGAGCTAGTCCTGGGGTATAATGATTAATGAATGGCACAGTTCTTGCCCCCATGGAGTTTATAATTCTTCAAAGAAGTCAGTCGATTAAGTAATTATGACAAAATGTGGTAAATGTTAAATAGAGGAAGTAAAGAGTGCTAAAATGTATATCTACTTGACTCCTAACCTACTTGGTCTCGAGGGCTAGTGTAAGATGTCATTGTAAGAAGTGTGAAGTCAACTGCGTCTTAAAGGGCCTGCTCGGTTCCCTTACTTCTTTTCAAAGGAAGACAGACCACTCTTCCTCTACTCTATTTTTATGATCTGTTTTAAAATAAAACTCCTTTAAAAATGACCCATATGAGTAAGTGTAGCGCATTAATATTCTAAATGTTAAATAGAAAGAGGAACAATTATGACTTTAAGTGAATTTTTATAAAATAGTCTACATTAGAAGGTAATGAGTTCCTCATTTCTTGAGGTATTCAAGCAAAGACTGGATGACTTTCAAAGATGTTAATAGTAACTTCTGTTACTGGTAAGTTGGACTAGGTGACTTAGATTCCATGTTATTATAAGTCACAGTATATAGTGACACTTGTGGTACTTTCTCGTAGTGCATCATTCTTAGTTGAGAAAACAGTTTAATTACTGTTGACTGCTTATCTGTGTTATTGATAAATTTGTACATGCTCTATTATTGATTGCAACTGGAACAACTATATGCGTAGATTTTCTTTTTAAGTACACCAAAGATTTGTGGATTACTGTGCAAGACGTCAGGCCAGTTGCTGAGATTTTAAGCTGATAACTGTCATTATAAAACTCCCAGTATAAATTACCTAAAGAAGGATGGATTGGTTAGTAGATCTTTGACTTGGATGATGTAAAGTGTGAAGTTTATTTTAATTGTAAGGAATGTTGTGGAAGACTGCCTAGAGGCAGACATGAGATTACAGCAACATTAAAGGGCTGCTTTTTGAAGAGTTAATTCAGGTGGGTTTAAGATCTCAGTCATTTAAATTTGTTTCCCATTATTTACTGGAAGATTTTTAATTGGATAGTGATTTATTCAAAGAGATACGTTAATTAGATTTTTTATAGTGGTCATTCTGAATGTATTCAGAAGAGGGAAAATTAAATTAGAGATCACTTTTTCCCCCGACTTAGATACTTCACCTTTTGTTCATTTATGAATATGTCATTGCCCTTTTTAATATTTAGCAAGAACAGTGTATTTAGTTGCGGTTAACTTGATAGTTAAGTTTTTGATAATTGTGTTATATTGCTCTGTGAAACAAAACTAAAAAACCAAGCCAAGCAGTCCTTGTAATTTTTCTGTGGTACAGTAGCATGGAAAGAAATCACTTCCTTCTTTCATAGTACCAAACTAAAACCGGTTGCCATCAAGTTGATTCTGACTCATAGTGACCCTATAGGACAGAGTAGAACTGCCCTATAGGGTTTCCAAGGAGCGGCTAGTGGATTCGAACTGCTGATCTTTCGGTTATCAGACAAGCTCTTAACCATCGTGCCACTAGGGCTCCTTTCATAGTACAGTGCTGTCATATCTCTGAAATGTGTTTATCTTTTCTACATTTTTCATCATCATACTCTATACGTATTAAATGTTTCTAATAGGAAGCTCTTTGGGTTATTTTTAAAAATGAAGATGTTTAACCACAATTTTATAAATATGTCCACATTTTCCATACATTATTTACTATGATTTTTCTTTTTTAAACTTTGTTTTTATACATGACATTGATCATTAGGAGGGGCTTTCAATACTCATTTCAACATGTATATTAAGACAGACAGGCAGACAGACACAGACACAGACACACACACACAGACACACAGACACACACACAGACACACACACACACACACGCCTAGGCAGCTTTAGCTTTATCACCTTTGAATTTGGGGGAAAAAAAATTACAAGGTAAGTTGATTTTCCCCGTGAACTTAATAGGACTTAGGTTTTTAATGTTTTGATTGAGAATTTGAATTTTATTTTGGGAAAAGTAACAGTAGTAATAGTAGTAATAGTGTTAGTAATAATAGTCTTTAGTAGAGGTGGTAGCTGCAGTACTAATAGTAGTAGAAGGAGAACACCAGTATTTGGCAGGTAAGAAAACAGAAGCTTAGAGAGCCATTTTGTATCTTGTTCACGGTGATACAGCTTGTTAGTGGCTGAGCTGGAATTAGTAACTAGGTTGGCCAACCCATTGTTTTTGTAATACCATACTGTCTTAATTTGGTGTTTTGAAGTAATGGATGTGAAAGTGTTTTAAAAATGATAAAATGTTTTGCAAAGATGAGGTGTAGATATAATATGAAATGAAGTTTGGCTTCAGTTTACTTAAATGGAGAATGTGAAATTGATCAGCATACTTTGGACAAAGACAGTGGCAAGTGAAGGTCAAGTTTGAGGTGGGTATGTTGAACCACTGTATTTCACCCATTTAGCACAGAGAGTTGTGTTTAGGTTGGGATTGTGACTTTAGCATTTCCGGACGCTTATTCTCCTGCTCAACTGCATGATAACTGGGCAGGCAGATATGGCAGGTTGGTAGTCTTTTTTCTGTTCTGCATGTATTTTGTCTTTTTTACCCATGGTGTGTGTTTTTGAGTCAGAGATAATTAAGAACTCAAACATTTCTTTTGGGTAAAGTTAAAATATAGGAATCCTGTGTTCTTGAAGCTTAAATTTTTAAGTGTACAAAATAGTAGGACATGCAAATGCTGGACTGTTAAACTGAGAAATACACGAGCCCTCTAAATAAATGAACACTCACACCATGTCCAGAGTATAGCATTCATGCCAAGGGTGAGACTGAGTCAGGAAGCTGATTAAGAGAAGTATTGTCACTTTCACTTGGAGAGGGGCATCTTCATAGAAGAGGTGAGAATTTCAAGTCCCCTTTTCCCCCTTCCCTTCTTTTTTGTTTCTTTCCCTAATAGAGAAGGAGGGAAGAAAACTTCAGAACTGATGGTGTACGTTAGGGAAAAGGAGAACTGAATAGTGAGACTGTGAAATTAAAATTAAGGGACTGGAGGAACAAGTGAAACAAGTAGAGAGAAAAGAAGAGGTAATCTAGGTTTTGTATATAATACTGTATATTCCTTTAGCTAAATTACTGTTGCCCTGGAGGTGATTGACATCCTTTTAGGGCTTTTGGGAGAGAACAAAGTGAATTTGAAAAGCAGGGTAAATCCGAATTTGAGCAGCAACACCTAAAAATGATGAGAAGAGAGTACTGCTAGAAGTTGATGAGGGAGATTCTTGGAGAATTTAGATCACTTAAGTAGACCTATTTGCGTACAAGTATTATTTCCATTTTACAAATTGAAATGTCTTCATGTATGAGGAATTTTGTGTACTATTAAATATTGCTTGGATACTGCTAGATTTATTGCAGTTTTTCTTTTTTTTTCTAGGGTTTGGATTCAGGATTTGTTCCTAGTGTCCAGGACTTTGATAAGAAACTTACAGAAGCTGATGCTTATCTACAAATCTTGATAGAACAATTAAAGGTATGGCAGATTAGTTTATATATTGAATTGATACACAGGAGTAAATAATGTTGCTGAGCTTGATTTTGAGTAACAACAGTTACTTGATGTTGATATAATACCTTGAAAAAATATGTATTGTCTTGAAAATACATATAAATCATCCCTGGAAGAAATATGTTTAAGATTGAACAAATGTATACATGTAGGAAAGTAGTTCAATACTATAACTTTTTTTTTTTTTAAAGAGAACAAGGTGACAAACACCCATTTGCTCACCGCTGGAAATTAGCAAATGTTAATATTTTTTTTTTTTTTTTAAATTCTATAGCTTTTTGATGACAAGCTTCAAAACTGCAGAGATGATGAACAGAGAAAGGTAACTTTTATGGCCATGGTTTTAACTTTTTCATTTTTAAATCCAAGAGTCTTTTGGAGAAATAACAGAAGGATCTCAGTGTTTTGACTGTTTGACCCTGTTATAATAGTACTGCTGTATAGACCTCAAGGAGAGTTTTCTAGTGAATTTCTGTTATGGTTTGAAAAGGGTAATGTACAAAATTTTAATGTAATATACCCTTTTTAATTTTAGTGTCAAATTCTTAGGAGTAAGTTCTTTCCTCTTCAGTTATCATATGGTGAAGGTGGAAAGTTATTTTATTAAATTTACCTGTGGTCACTTCAGATATTAATAAACCAACTGTAAAGAATTTTCAGAATAAACAGAAGCCACAGATGAGGAAACAAAATGAATACTGCTTTAGTTATAGTCTTTCCCCTCCTCCCCCAGTTGGATTTTGGAAACTGTTATTTAGTTCAAATATTGTTTTCTTCTTTTTTCTTTCGCTCTCTTTGACTAGACTTTCTGATGTAATCATTTATTTTTTCCTTATTTGTCTCTTTTATAATTGGTGGTAGCAGTAACTTGTGTTCAGCTCACCTTCAGTTCTTAGTTTTGGAATTTAGTCCCATGTTATTTTTAATCAACTTAGCAAAGTTAAGATGATGCTAAGATATAAGCATTTTTAAATCACAGTGAAATCTATAGAAAAGATAAAACTTGTCTTAAGGTAAGGAATAAGAATGTTTTAATTATTCTTATAAATCTTGAATCTCATGAATTTTGTTTAAGAGGGTTTAATCCGTAAAATGTCTGGAATTTTTATTTAATGTTTGTTTAAATGCTCCCACATACAGTAGTGAGTACATTTTGGTAAAATACTTTAAATTACTAACCACTAAAAACAATGATGATACTTTTTTTGTTTCTGATTATTTCTGCTTAAACTTAACTATTTTTTACAGAAAATTGAAACTCTCAAAGAGACAACAAATGTAAGTTATGTGTTTAATAAACTCTGGCTTTGCATTAGGAAGTACATTAAATGTTATTTCTATTTTAAGCTGCTACTATTAACAAGAACAATTGCAATTTTAATTTTCTTGCATTTTTACTAGGGTATTTAAGAATTGTATTATTTTCCAAAGGAATTTAAACAAATAGACTAATCCTTTTAGTTGAAATTGACTTCATGTACCGTTTATCTGTTTCTAGTCTTGTCTGTTTGAGCTCCTTGGATAAAAGGTGTCATCCATGCACAAAGTATATTCTCTTTCCTATAATTAAAATAGATTATGATTCAGGTTTTCTGATGTACTGACCTTCTGGCACTATATAATGGGCTACTGATGAGATTTGTATTTTGAAAAGTAATTAAAACAGGCAAAGTAGCATTTCAGACCTACAAATATTTTGACAATCCTTTACTCTCCATACTTCCATATAAGTCTTGAGTAGACTTATGAATTTATTTCAGAGTTGCTGCTATTGATCTGAGAATTTGGAAGTCAATCGTAACTCCCAACCCTTTCTGTTTGAAATGTTGAAAACCCGTTTAGATGTTACTTAGTGTAAATTAACCATTTTTTGTTATTAACAATTCATAGAATTACTAATGAATAACGTCATTTGCCATTAAGTATTTCTTGTCTAGTATAAACTTAATATTTATACATTTGAACTGACCTTTCTATTTTAAGCTTTAGTATCATGTGACCATTTCATTCGGGGCAAGATTCTAAAATCAGTGTGTTTTTTTTTTTAGAACATGGTAGAATCAATTAAACACTGCATTGTGCTGCTGCAGATTGCTAAAGTAAGTAAATTTTACTTTTGACTTCATTTAATGAGATATAAAAGTTATAATGGCCTTTATCTTCAATAGCCAAAGGACTCGGTTCTGAAATATATTACCTTTCCCTAGTAATCTATATTATGGGGTTTCTGGTACTATTGAACAAGTTTTATGTTTGGCTGTTATCTTACCTGCATGTGCCTGTTTTTGATGAGGTAATTTCTGGTGGTGGATGGGAAAGAGGTGGGCATGTTTGAATGACTTATCTATTCCTTCCCTTGTATCTGTTATCAATACTGCTTGAAACAAAGATATAATTTTGTAAAACCTTTTACAAAAAGAATTTTTCTTAGGAAATAAGGGAATTAAGTTTTAGTAGAGTTCTTTTTCTTACCTATAATGAAGCATATAATAGAGATATGTTTTTTAAAATTTTCTTTGTTGTAGATCTTTTTCTGGAGCTGAATTATGTTAATGAACTACTACTTTAATAGCTGTTTTTATTTATGAAATAAAATATATTTTGAATTACTGTGGGTTCAGAAATTTATGGGAATCATCAGCTTTTCTGAGAAATTTTGGTTTATTCAACCTAAATAGATAACATATTGCTCTAAGTTTTGAGAAACAAGGATTTTATTGTTTGAGAATAAGAATTAAATTTTGCTTTTCATTACTTCTACCTGATTGTACCCCTGTATTCCTAGCAAGTGACTAGAATGATGTGGGTGGATGGCTCAGCAGCCAAGTTCAGAAATTCTGTTCATGTGTGTTTTTAATTACTGGCCCATTTTACTTATTCTATTGCATATATTTGTTTGCCCAATAATAGACACTTTTTATCTAGCATTATTAATGATAATAATGGACATTCCATTTGTGCTTAGATAATAAGGATATTCAGCTTATAAACTAAAGGAGCCAATATCATTTTCTTTTGAGACCAGCTTCAACATTACACTTAGTGTCAGAACTTCAGGGCTTGGATTGTCTTTCTAGGTATTCTTGGCCACTATGCCTGATTTCCTATGTAATTATCTAATTTTCTCATCTACTTCTGAGGATCAGAATATATTCTAAAGCTTCAGAAGGGGAGTGTCTTAGTCATCTGGTACTGCTCTAACAGAAATACCACAAGTCGATGACTTCAGCAAAGAGAAGTTTATTCTCTCAGTCCAGTAGGCTACAAGTCCAAATTCAGGGCATCAGCTCCAGCAGAAGGCTTTCTGTCTCTTTTGGCTCTGGAGGAAGGTCCTTGTGATGCATCAGTCTTCCTTTGGTCTGGGAGCTTCTCTGCACAGGAACCTCAGGTCCAAAGGACACACTCTGCTCCCGGCACTGCTTTCTTGGTGGTATGAGGTTCCCATGTGTCTCTGCTCACTTCTCTCTTTTATATCTCAAAAGAGATTGCATTAAGACACTATCTAATCTTATAAACCTCATCAGTATAACCTCATCACAGTGATAGAATTTACAGCACATAAGGAGATCACGTATAACCTCAACATAGTGGTAGAGTTTACAACACATAAGGAAATCGCATCAGATGACACGATCATACAATACTGGGAATCATGACCCAGCCAAGTTGACAGATACTTTTGGGGGACACAGTTCAATCCGTGACAGGGAGGATAGGGTTGGAGACATGAATGGGTTTTTATTTTTCTTGGTTGTGAAATGAGTGGAGGAGTACCTACAGTTACCCAAAAACCTATATATAGGTAACCAGTAAACGGTATTGTGTCTACTGTGAGTAGGTATTTTAGGACATTCATATTGCCTTCTTTAGATGATTGGGAAAGTAGAAGAGTTTATACCGTATTTAGGCCAGCTTGGGTGATCTGCAAAAATCATTCAGAACTTTAATTAGTTGTAAATCAGGGCAACCTAGCCCCTTTGAATATAAAGTAGTAAATTATGTAGATAATGCTCATCTTTTAGCCACCATCAAGAACATTTTTGGTGTTCTGTCTCTAGAACGGATTTCAATTCAAATTACAAACGCTCTTTTCCAGAATTTTCTATAATTTAATCTGTACTTGCTACCTAATTGTTTTACCCAGTTTAATAGACATTTCAAGGTCCTTCAGAATAGGTAACTTGGACCAGGTAAATGGAGTTTGGCTTTTTAATTTTTTCCAGGAGGAAGTTTTATTGTTGTTAAGGTTGTTTATGTGCAAATACAATCCTCAAATTATATATGTATCCTATATGAACTCTGTGTGTATCTTTAACCTAATTTAAGTGTAAAACAGATCATGTCACTTGCCTGCTCATGTTCGTCTAATGGTTCCCCACTTCACTTGGAATGAAATATATGCTACTTACCATAACTTAACATCATTTGTGCCATCTCTCCCTCTCATCTAATCTTCTACTCTCGATTGATGCCACCATTCCAACAACATTGGCCTGTTTTCTTTTTCTCAAACAGGCCGTGCTTTTTTCTGCTTCAGGATTTGTACTTGGTTTTCTTTCCACCTGGAAGGCATTTTCCACTCATTTAAATTTCTGCCCACATGTCACCTTTTTGGAGGGACTTTTCCTGACTGCTCTATCTAAAATAATCTACTCCCCCCTTTCTTTTCCTTCATGGCCTTGTATCACTAGCCTGATTTACATAATATATATGCTTATTTACCTGCCTATATGTTAGGGTGTGATCTCCATAAGGACTTTGTCTTATTTACCACTGTAGCTTCAATTCCTAGAACAATTGCCTGCCACATAGTAGGTACCTGATAAATAATTGTGAATTGTGATGAATGGACTTTTATAGTACATAATTTTTAATGCTTGCATGGTTTAGTATTTTCATTATATGTATGATTTTTTTAATTCAGCTACCTCTGTTGTTAATCACTTACGATGGGCTGTGATGAACATCCTTATGAATTAATCTTTAGGAAATTCTAGTCAGTTAATCTGTGATTAAGATACAGGAATTTTAAGTATTAATGAGAGGCAGCATAGCATAACCTTCAAAAGCATGGACTCTGAAGCCTGACTGCCTGGGTTTGAATCCCAGCTCTACCACTTGAACAAGTTTATTTCTCCTGTCTGTGCCTTGGTTTCCTCATATGTAAAATGGGGATAATAGCAGTACCTGTCTCTTACTGATATTGTGAGGCTTAAACGAATTAGTATTTATAATGCTTTTAGTACCAGGCATATAATAAATCCTAAATAAATGTTTGTTGAATTGAAAAAAATTTGGGAGAGCCTAAATTTTAAAGTATCAATATCATGTGTTGTTGAAAATAGGAGAAATTCCATCTATGACTGATAGGAATATAAATTGTTACAGCCACTTTGGAGAACTGTTCTTGACTGGCAGGTTAATTAAAACACTGGAATCAGCTGCTTTGAGGAAGATAATGCCATCCGAGACCTCAAAAGGATATAAGACGATAGCTAATTTGATACCCTTTTTGTTTTGGACTGATTTGATATTAGCTTCTTAGAGGCAGCATGCTGTGTATAGCATTTTGACCTTCCAGTTTTTGATTGTTTAATTTTAATTGCAATGCCAAAAAGCTTATGAGGTCCTCCTGCCTAAATGATTAGTGCATTGGTCCCTGAACTCTGCTGAACATTGGAATCATCTGGGAATCTAAAAATTCTGATGCCTGACTTCCACTCCAAGAGTTTTTATTTTATTTTGTGGTAAAATATATCTAACAAAATTTGTCACTTAAACTATTTTTAAGTGTACAATTCAGTGACATTAATTACATTCACAATGTTGTACATCCTTCACCACTGTTTTCCAAAACTTTTTCATTACCCCAAACAGAAACTCAGTACCCTTTAATCAATAACTCACCACTTCCCCCTTCTCTAGCCCTGACAACCACTAATAAACTTTCATCTCGGTGCATTTGCCTATTCTAGACATTTCATGTAAGTGCTAGCCCCAGACATTCTGGTTTAATTGGGATGGGGTGTGACCTGGGCATTGGGAACTCCTAAAACTTCCAGGTGATTCCATTGTGCAGCAAAGTTTGGGCACCATTTAGTTAGTGGGATTTTCAGATGGCCTGTGTTATCTCAGAAGACCTCATTCTTCCTTTGTGCTGTTGGTGGAGACAGCTGGTGTTCCACTCATGGGGAACTGGGAGGTAGAAAGTGGAGATGATCAGGGAGGCCTCTGCAGCAGGGGCTTGGCCAGGTCTTTATCAAGATCACGGTTTTATGACCACATAACTGCAGCTTGTAAGCATTGTTGCAATACCTGTTATAATTTTATGTGTGCTTACTTGACTGTCATTTACTGTAGAACTATTTTTGCATTGTTATTTATAAATAACTACTGAATTTAAAGAAACAAGGTATACTGGATACCTTTTGGTTATGAGTTATAATTGGTACCAATTAAAAAATTTTTTTCGTGGTAAAATATATGTAACATAAAATTTGCCGTTTGAACTGTTTTTAAGTGTTTAATTCAGTGAGTTTCACCAGTTAAATCATGCAGTTAAACATTTTTATGTAATTAAAAATCAGGAACTTTAAATGGTAATTCTTAAAAGCAAAGGTAAAGACTTAGCATTTTCAATAGAGACAGATCAGTTTGATTCATGCAATTTAAAATGTCCTGCATAAAATAGGAACAGATAAATACTGTCTATTGACTAAATAGAAATTGAGACCTTAAGTTTGTCAGTTATTTATTTGAATATCCTAAGCCTAGACCAGTGCTGTTTAATAAAATGAGAGCTACAGTGTAATTTAAAAATTTCTAGTAACACGTTTTAAAAAAAAGTATAAGAAAGAACAGGTAAAATTAATAAAATACATTATTTTAAAGTTAATTTCACTTGTTTTTAACCTGGTATGCCCAAAATATTATCATTTCGCATGTCATCCATATAAAAATCTATTAATGAAAAAAAATTTTTTATTGTTATTATTTGCACACCGAGTCTTCAAAATCCTGTATGTATTTTACACTTTTAACTAGCCACATTTCAGATGGGAAATAGTTACCTGTGATCGGCAGCTACTGAGTTGGGCAGCACAGGTCTTCATTATCCTTTTAGGACTGTAAGTTATTTGGCCATAGATACTTTACTACTCTGGCGTCTTGTCCCTGCCTCCTGGCTATAGATACTTTAAAAGTAGATTATATATTTAAGTTATCCTCAGATCCCAAGTTCTCCCCCCGAACAAATTTTCTGCGTAGACTTTGTTTTCATCACTCTTCATTCGTTTTTCATCAAACTTTTTTAAACAGCTTATTAACTTACATCCCATGCACCACTCATTTAAAGTGTACACTTCGTTGGTTTTTAGGATATTTACAGAGTTATGCAACCACCACCATAATCTAATTTTAGAACATTTCATCATCCCATAAAGAAACCCTGTACTCATTAAGCAGTCACATCTATTCTCCCTCACTCTCCTTCTAGCCTCTTACGACTAATCTAATGTCTTGTCTCTAGATTTCCCTATTCATGTAAATGGGATATACAATATGTAGTCTTTTGTGACTGGCTTCTTTCACTTAGTGTAATGATTTCAGATTCATTCATGTTGTATCATGTATCAGAGCTTCATTCCCTTTTATTGCTGAATAATATTCCATTTTGTGGCTGTACACATTTGTTTATCCATTCATCCATTGATGAACATTTAAGCTGTTTTAACTTTTTGGCTATTGTAACTATTGTTGCTGTGAACATTGGCATGTAGTGTTTTTGTGTAGAAATGTATTTTCATTTCTCTTGGGTATATATACCTTGGAGTACAATTACTGGGTCATATGGTAACTCAGTGTTTAACTTTTTGAGAACTGCCAAACTGTTGGTGACTGCACCATTTTATAGTCCCACCTGCAAGTATGAACGTTTCAGTTTCTCCACATCCTCACCAACTCTTGTGATTAAATGTGTTATTGATTATAGCCATTCTAATGGTATGAAGTGAAGTGCTCTTTCAGTGTGGTTTTCACTTGTATTTCCCTAATGACTAATGATGTTGAGTATCTTTTTATGTGGTTATTATTAACCTTTCAGATCTCTTCTTTGGAAGAATGTCTGTTCAAATCCTTTGTCCATTTTATAATTGAATTATGTCTTTTTATTATTGAGTTGTAAGAGTTCTTTATATATTCTGGATACAAGCTACTTACCAGCTATATGATTTGCAATTTTTTTCTTCAAGTCTGTGGATTGTCTTTTTACTTTCTTGGTGGTATCCTTTGAAGCCCAAAGTTTTTAATTTTGGTGAAGTCTAACTTATCGGTCTTTTATTACTTGTGCTTTTGCTGATGTAGCTAAGAAATCATTGCCTTGCTCAAAAATCACAAAAATTTACTCCTGTGTTTTCTCCTAAGAGTTTTAGAGTTTTAGCTGTTACACTTCCATTTTGAGTTAATTTTTGTATATGGTATGGGGTAAGTGCCCAATTTTTTTTTTAACCCAGTTGTCCCAGCCTCATTTTTTGAATTCCGTCAGACTTGTATTAGAAATTTTTCTTCATCACCATTGTGTATTTATTTTTGTTTCATATAATTAGAAAGTGTTTGGGTATGTGATTAAGAGAAATTTCATTAGACTATATTGCCTCGTTAGAAAAGTGGGGATATATAGTTTGTGTATTTTGATGGTAGTTATGGTTTAAAGAAATATTAGAATCTCTGATTTTGGTCAAAAGCCTTCCCAGTTTTTGTTCACATCATATTTCCAGATCTCGATCATGTTGGTATGTTCATAGAAGAGAAAAGCCATTGTATTAGGAAATGAGGGACTTATAACCAAATAAACATTTATCATTTAAGCAGAAAGTAGCATTGGATCCTTTCTTTGTTTCATTAACATAATTCATATTGAATTCAGTTGAATCTCTGGTTTTACAGTACTTGAGATTTAACTTTAGCTGACCCTGATAAATGGCAACTTGTGGTTTACATTTAAAAAAAGAAAGAAAAATGGAAGGAGACAGGAAAAAAAAAAATGAATGTAAGTAATAGAGCAAAGTTCTTAAAGTTCATGATGGGAATGATTGATAGTGAGGCATTTAATAGCCTGCGAGTTCATCTGGATTTGACCTTGCCTTAAAAAACAAACCACAACAGTAAAAAAGATAAGTAAACCCTGATTCCAAATACCCTGTAGATAGCCTGCACTACTAATTGGGGACATTTTGAAGGAAAGAAACGTCTGATGTTAATAGTTGATTTTAGATTATACCGTAATTAGAAGTGATAGTTCTCTTAGATAATATAATGTACTGTGTTAGTAATCTCTTGATGCATAAACAAGCCACACCAAAAATGAGTGGCTTAAAATAGCAACAGCCATTTGTTTTGCTCACAGATGTGTGATTTAGGCAGGCCCAAGACTTATCTCTGATCAATGCAACTTCCGCAGTAGTAGTTTAACTGAGGCTAGAGGATCCCACTTACAAGATGACTCACTCACATGACTGGGAAGTTGGGCTGGGGGCCTAAGCTTCCTCTTCTTCACAAGCTGTTTGGTTTTTCTCACAACATGGTGGTTGGGTTCCAAGAGCAAGTGTGCTGAGAAAACAAGGTGGAAGTTTGTGGCATTTCCATGACCTAGTCTCAGAAGTCACATGGAGTCACTTCTGCTGTACTTACTGATAGAGACCGTCACAAAGGCCCACTCATGTTCAAGGGGAGGGGATATGAACCCACCTCCTGATGGGACCATTTTTGGAAAATTTCATCTGCCACATCTATATAATTCCTTAGAAGAAATTCTTTGGAAAATCAATTTAAGTTTAGAAATTAATAGAAGGAAAGTTCAAAGTAAAATTTCACTTTCTGAATAAGAAACTTTCTTTTTTAATTACTTCTACATAATTCTCAATAATTTAATTTCAGCTGTCTCAGTATTCAGAATTACTGAAATTTGGATATTCTAAACATACAACTCAGTTGTGCAAATAAAGGGGAGAATCCCAACATGAATTATATAGATTTTAAGTTTCAGTTACTGTCTGGGATGTGCACTGTATTGAGAGTTCTTAAGACCTGCAGATTTGGAGAAGCTATAGGAGAGCTCACAGGACACAGCATATAGTTGTACTCAACGACTCTGATATACTACAGTGGAAAGATACAAAGCAAAATCAGTGAAGGGAAAAGATGCATGGCATGAAGTCTAGAGGACAGTCAGGCACTACTTTCCAAGAATCTTCTCCCAGTAGAGTCACAGGATGTGCTTAATTCTTCCAGCAATGAATTGTGACATGCGTAAAATGTTGTCTATGAGGAAAGCTCCTTAGAGACTTAGTGCCCGAGGTTTTTATTGGAGGCGTGTCAAGAAGGCAGCCTCTGCCTAGCACTTAACAAGATTCCAAACTTCCAGAAGGAAGGCAGGTGTTCAGCACAGTTTAGGCACAGTAAGCCACTCTTTATCAATTAAGGGTGGGGAGAATCCTCCCGAAATCCAAGTTCCCAGATGCCAGCCAAGGGCCAACCATGCAAGCAGGTCTTTCTGAGGATAGCAGTCTCAGGATTCCTGTTTAACTCTTTTTTGTGTGTGAACTTTAGGAAAATGATCTCTGAATTGCTTTTGATGAACCCTTCAATTTGTATGTAAATTTCTGAGTGAGCTTGGCAGTTAAAAGACAGAAAAGGTTATAGATAAATGAGACATAACTTGGGTATTATGTTTAAAACCAAGACGAAAGATGGATTTCTATTAAGACTTGAAAACTTCCAGATAGTATGGAGTTATAACTTTAAGGTTTTGTTTAAAGTTAAATATATTGTCTATGTAATACTAAAAGATGGTTCCCCTCAACCCCTCATAGTTATGTTTACTTCTTTTAGAGAATTGTCCTTTAAAAAAAATAAAAGGTAGAAGGAATCAATGACATCTAATATAGTACCTCTTGTACACATGGTTTCTCTTTTACCTTTTCTTTTTTTGTGGACTTTCTCCATAGTTTATAGTAGAAAAAAGCGCTGGATGCAGCTGTTTTCTATATCATGCTTTTGCCTGGTACCTTTATTTTAGTACTACATTTATACTGGTGAGTGCCTGGGTGGAACAGGCCTCTGCACACATGGTGAGAGTGGAGAGGAGGAGGAGTAAAGAATCTCAGGAGGGACAAAATGAGCTCTTAGGTTCCTTTTAGATTGAGTTACAGGAGTATGTGTGTGTGCGTGTATGGATTCATCTGTCTTATGGGGATAATAATAGTACCTACCTTGTGGGGTTATTGGTGGAATAAATGAATCAATACATGTAAAATACTTGTGAGGGTAGAGTTAGCCACTGTGTCATCGGTCCATCAGTATAGTGTTTATATTTACCAAACAAAAATCAGAACACTTGTTTAGAAAACTATTAATATAATTCTGGGCCCAGCAGTCAGAATACATGAAATTGTATCTATTCTGCATTTTTAGGATATGTGATCATCATACCTTTAAAGTGCAGTAAGAGTTGGCATAATTTACTATAAAAGTGAAATACAGAAATATTGAGAGTCTTTAGTCCTAAATTAGTATATCTACTTTTAGTCATTGGCACCAATGTGACTACAGTTCAGTAGTATATTCCCACAATGAACATAATTAAATGCCTGTGTAGAATGATAATTGCCATGCTTTTGGTATTGATTGTTACATAGCCAGTGATAGAATTTTGTTTGGTTAGGAATGTTCAAATTGAATTAAAATCTTAGTAGAAATGGAAGAATAATGTTCCAAAATTATTATTTACTAGTAAAATAACCTTTCTTAATAGGGAAGAAAGTACACTAGGAGCTACTTAAATCAAAGAATGAAGTTAATATTTCTAACATTTTTCCTTAAGGACCAGAGTAATGCGGAGAAGCACGCAGATGGAATTATAGTAAGTTTAATCTAATCTTTTTTTGTTTCCCTTTACTTCTGCAGAGCATTATAACCAGTCATGTCAGGAGAGGCCTGAGTTTATACTCATTTTTCAATGCAAACTCTTCTTTTCATCTTGCTCACTGCTCTTTATGGACTCTTGCAATTTTCCTTGAGCTCCTAAAGTTGGCCATCTTGCAGCAGTCATTTGGAGGGGAAATGGCAATCTTAAAATTAATTTCTAAGTATTTGTTCTTATTGAATCACTTTGCATGTATTAACTTGAAGGGTTAATCATGGTATGAAAACTCGGCTTTTATTACTAAATAAGGCATAACTCACAATGCTATGTTTCTTGTCAAACTTCTTTTTTCTCGGATGAAAGCAGAAGGGGAGGGGTGCAGTATTGTAATGTGTCTTAATCTATTTAATATGTTTATAGGTTTCTGTTGTTTCCTTATTTTTTATTTTTAGATTTTCTGTATTGTGCTAGCTGTCATTATTACTGCGGTATACACTGCATTTCTGTTGGAATGAGTTGCAACATTGCTTCTTTCACTTATGGCCATTTTCTTATTTCCTCTTTCTTCCCCCTTGGCATTTTCCCCTTACCTTATAATCATCTTTCTCTCTAAAAAGAAAACGTTTTGTTGTTACAATTCCCAGCTGGAAATGAAAGTTAGAATTTGAAGGTTTGTAGTGACAGCTACCCTAGTCTTATGATATCCGAGTGACTTCTATTCCGACTGGATTTCTAAAGCAGGAGGCAGCTTCTCTTTTTCCCTGAGACTTAACCTGTGCCGACTTGTCTGAGATCTGGAAATTCATCGTCTAAATCTTCTCAACCATCTCATGATTATACTTGAAAGGGCGAGCATGTTATCTTTACATTTGGTTTAAAATGAGAAAAAGTTAAATATCTGTCTTGTTTGCATTATTCTTAAGAAACCTGAAATAACAGAAACATTTTAAAATTTGAATTAAACACATTGGAATTTTCATTTCTTTGTTCAAAGTGTGAGCTGTGGTGATACAATGCAATTACATGATATAATATCTCTTCCTGAGGCATCATTGTAAGATTGTAAGCCTCATGGGAAAGCACTGTATGTGTTGTCTAGTATGACATAATCCCCAAAGACTCCTAAGAAGAATCATGTGGGCAATTATTCTTCTCTCTTAAAGCAAAATTAGTTATATTATGTTAAAAAATAGCGTTTTATAAAGCATGCAAAAAAGTTTGAAAACGTGGCAAGTTTGTAATCATAGAAAATCTAAACTTGTAGATAACAAACATATTTGAATTATTTGATCAGGGACTCTAGCATTTCTCCTGAGGAGCATTTATTTTAAAGAAAGAAAGAAACTGTTCATGGTGTGGGTCCTGGAGCCAGACTGTGTGGGTATAACAGCTCTGCCACTCACTAGCTTTGTGACCTTGGGCAAGTTACTTAACCTCTCTGAGTCTTAGTTTCCTCATCTAGAAAAGAAAGGTGATTAGTTCTACCTCAGTTTGTTGTGAAGACTAGAGCACATAGTACTTAATAAATGTTAGCTATGCATACATATATGTATATCATTATATATTATATATATATATTATATCTAACAATATTATTATATAGTGCATTGCATGAGTTTTATTAATGTCACAGCAGATCAGGGTTGAGGATTATTATTTGTTTACATTTCTCAGGCTCTCTGCACATTCACTTTGAAAGCAAGATGAATGCAATTTGACATATTTTAGCCTGAAGTTGAGTGACCAAGGACTATAGACAATAAGTCTAAAATGGTTCGTGTTTCTGTTAAAAAAAAGAAAAGAAGAAACTGAGTACTTTTAATATACATAAAGAAATGTCTAAAAGTATTTTCTTTAGTAGACAAGCCTAATCTTAGAACATTTCATCTGGAAAAAAAAAGATTTTGTCCAAAAAATGTAATTCTAGTTAATTTTTAGTCGCTTGAATAATTTCGCTTATGTAGTGAGAGGGGTAAGGAGGTGATAACATTCTCATTCCTATGGATCAGGGTATTTGTGGTGGGATTTTGTCTTTGTAAAGTGCTTAGAGTCCTTTGGAGAAAAGCACTATGTAAAAAACAAGGAATTTATTTTAAGAACAGCTCTGGGACTTGGTGAGACACTTGATTAGTTATTATGGCCTGATCCAGTATCTAAAAATAGAATCAAAAAGTAGCATACTTTGAGAACAGGAAAGCCCTTAAAGACCATGTAATCCAGACTCTCATTTTACAGACTGGGAAACTGAGGCCCATATTAAGGGACTTGCCAAGTCCTTGGTAGAGCAAGGATTCAAAGAACTTATGAGAATTCTGACTCCCGGTTTCTGTGCTTTTCCCAGTGCTTCAAAGCCTGTCCTACTTCACTTTACTAGGTTTTTGATTATTAGTGATTGTTTTCAGCATTTCTTCTGCAAGTGTTACTTATTTTCCAGTTAGAATATTTATAGTAGGTATGCTGTTATAGTGACAAGAATCAGAATTCTTGTGTTCAAATCACTTGATTTAAGAGATTTGATATAATGATTTTAAAATATTAATGGGGAAAGTTTTTTTTTTTCCCCAATATTTTATGTGTTTTAGGTGAAAGTTTGCACAGCTAATTAAGTTCCCATTTAACAATTTTTGTACAGATTGTACCATGACTGGTTACAATTTTCACAGTGTGTCAGCATTCTCATTATTTCTGTCCTGTTTGTTCTGTTTCCATTGATCTAGCTTCCCTTCCCCACCTTCCCTTCTCATCTTTGCTTTTGGGTATATGTTGAGCATTTGGTCTCATATAGTTGATTGATTGAGGGACACATTAGTCATGGGTGATATTGTTTATGTTATAAGCCAATCTGTTATTTGTCTGAAAGGTGACCCCCAGGAGTGGTTTCAGTGATAAGTTCAAAGGGTTTTGTTTTATTTTTTTAACTTAGACATTAAAGGAGAATACTACAAAAAGTTATCATTATCTCACTTTACATCGTTAGACACTTTTAGGTTTTTACAGATAGTTTTTGTGCTTATTCATCAGCCATGTATTTCCCTTATAACTAAAATAATGTATTTTCTGCCATAAGCTCTACCTAATATTTATTTGAAGTTTAGTTCTCCAGATCATGAAAAGTTAAAGAACTATTACATTTTTATTTCTTGGGTTCTGTCCGATTTAGTCTTGTAATTGGTAGATCTAAACATTAGATCTGGCAAAACCCTTGATTTAAAATCCTGCTGTCCCCTGCCTCCACCTCCCTTCCCCCTCAAGAAAAAAGCATCAATAGGTTGTGAACTCTTTAAAATTTTGCCAGCCGTCAGAGTAATTTCTGGCTTGGAGTCAGAGAAACCTAGTTTTTTGTTTCTCCTAAAACTGCAAATACATGTTTAGTTGTATTTTTTCCTCTTCCTTCTAAATCCTCCAACAGAAAGCCTTCCACCCCCAATTAGGAAATCCATCTCTTTGCCTTTGGTGACCTTAAAATGAGGCACTGTACAGTGCACAGTGATGGCAGGTAGCAATAGTATGGGATGGAAAGTTAAGATCCTGGTATGCAGATGCATTAGCTAGTCATAGCGCAATGTTTCTTAACACCAAAGCAAGAGAAAGCGTTTCTCTGTGTTTGATAGAGAAACAATATTTGTGGTGAATTAAGAATTTTGAGAAGCATTGAATTGAGTTGAGAGATAATTGTTTTGGCTTCCTGAAATCACCCCACACCATTTAAAAACTCAAGTTTTTCCATTTGGTTTTCCCGTCTTTGTGACGGAGTTTCTATGTGACAGTTACGAGAAACTCTTAGACTTCTGTATAGAAAAGGTGTTTCATTTCCTCTTTGCATTTTGACCAACTTATCTATATAGCCACACTAAGGATTTTGCTGACAGAAACGTGGACGTTTCATATATTTGGGAGGGTCAGCACAGAAAAAGCATTTAATTAAAAACAACTATTCTGTGTTTCTTTATCTCAGAGTACTATTAATCCTGTAGATGCAATATATCAACCTAGTCCCTTGGAACCTGTGATCAGCACAATGCCTTCCCAGACTGTCTTACCTCCAGGTATGGTATTTGTAAAAATATTTCACAAGACTCAGTGATGAGAAAAACTTAATTTATACTGCTGTCTTGGTAATCTGGAAGAGATCTTTTTGTTGTTTTTTAATAAGTAAAAGTCAGGAATCACAGAAAATATATAGTTGAGAATTAACTGGAAAAAGATGGTGTATTTTGGTATTGGGGCTTTTGAAGTACTATGAAAGGAGTTTTGGTTTCCAAAATGAGGTAGAAGACAAACATGGTTACTGAGACTTGGATTAGTTGTGGGACAGAATTCTTAGACCCAGGATTCATGGCTGTCAAGGGATACTTAATATACCTTGATCTACTTGAGAATAATTCAGGAACATTCTATTTTGGGTATTCTTTATGGCTCTGAACAATATAAACGGATTATTCACGGTAGATTTTAAGATACAGAGAAAGGGAAGAATGAAGTTTGTGACACCTCTTGATCAGTTGGAAACACTGAGTGGTACAAATAGCTAATGCACTCAGCTGGTAACCAAAAGTACAAAGGTTCAAGCCCATCCAGAGGCACCTCAGAAGAAAGGCCTGGTGATCTACTTCCAAAATATCAACCATTGAAAACCCTCTGGAGCACAGTTCTAACCTGAGACACATGGGGTCGCCATGAGTCAGAAATGACTCAGTGGCAACTGGTTTATTAACCAGAGAGTTATCTATTTTTAAATATGGAGTGATAAATATTTTTTTTTTAAACTGGCAGAGAAGGGCACAGGGCCAACATTCAACTTCACTGGTTTCTTTTATCTTTTTGTTGCATCCAACATTTCTATGCTGTCAGTGATGAGGTAGTTAAGTAAGAAGTTGTAGTGTAAAAGAGCAAATCCTTTCTTTTAATAGTTAAAGTGTGTCAAATCTTTTTGTGGTTTTTTTTTTTTTTAGCTCCTTGGGAGAATGAGCTTAATATTTCTCGGAGGACTAGAAGGATGGTACTATGCCTCATTTCACATTTTATGTGGCTTGTGGTTCAGAAACACATTATCATCAGAAGCGTTTGTTGGTTTTGCAGAGCCATTGTACTGAGGGTCTGGCCAAACTTGGCTGTCACTTGGTGTCCTGCCTAGTGTCTTAGTATTTGTAACATGTCATCATTTAGTTAAAAAGGATAGGGAGTCAGAAAGGAGTAGCATGGAACTTGGCTTAGTGGAACATAGTTCAGAAATTACTGATCTTTAGGATTTTGAATCCCAAACAATTATAGTCAACAGTGTGTGTGTTCTGCTGTTTCTTTAACATTATTTCACATGTTCAAATCTTCTAGAGCCTGCCCAGTTGTGTAAGTCAGAGCAGCGTCCATCCTCCCTACCAGTTGGACCTGTGTTAGCTACCCTGGGACATCATCAGACTCCAACACCAAATAGTACAGGTATAGATTTATGTTAATTCCTTTACCTCCCCACTAACATTTGAGATTTGTGATTGCCTACTAATGGGGAAATCGTTGAAGAAATGTGTTGTATATTTTTGTTGGAGATATCTTAGTTTTACCGTTACACTTCCACATGTGAAAAGATTGTTTGTGATTGAACCAAAAGCTTTAGTAAGTAATTTTAATTTAAATAAAATAAAAACATCGTAGGTCTGAGGATTTTGTTTGTTTGTTTACCTTAAAATAAGATTCATTTTGGGAGTCTAAATTGACTCTTTAAAAAAAAATTTACACAAGTCAGACTTGCATATGGAGGCAGTCCCTGGGTTACGAACAAGATCTGTTATGAGCAACATCTGTTCCCTTGTCTTTAATTCGAATTTGTAGGTTAAGTTGGAACAGGTGCATATGGTTGTTATTTAGCCTTACTTTATGCAAGGGCGCCCTGGTGGCACAGTGGTTAAGAGCTGTGGCTGCTAACCAAAAAGATGGGTAGTTCGAATCTACCAGCTGCTCCTTGGGAACCTGTGGGGCAGTTCTACTCTGTCCTGTAGGGTCACTATGAGTCAGAATTGACTCAACAGCAGTGGATTTGATTTTTTTGGTTTAGTGCAAGAGGAGCCGTGGTGGTGCAGTGGTTAAGAGCTTGGCTGTTAACCAAAGGGTCCGCAGTTCAAATCTCCCAGCTGCTCCTTGGAAACCCTACGGTGCAGTTCTACTCTGTCCTATAGGGTCACTATGAGTCAGAATCGACTCGATGGCAATGGGTTTGGTTTGTTTTTTTTTTTAGTGCAAGAAAGGGCTCAAAGCCTTTTCAGTAATTTAAAAGCTTCAGGAGCAACAACTGAAGGTGATGAAGAATTTGTTGTGAGTAGGGGGTTGATTCAGTTAAAAGTGAGGGCAAATTTACATAACATTAAAGGGCATAACATTAAAGGTCTGTAAGTCGGGTGTAACCCTGGGACTGCCTGTATTCTTACCATAGAGGAATCAGAGAGTAGAGAAGTATACAAAAAAAAGCTGAAAGTCCTCTTTGCTCTCCCCTTCCCCAGTCATCTATATACATGGATGTCCATATACACCTATATTGTTTACTTTTATTGTTGTTTTATCCTAAATGAGATGATACTTTGGTTTGTTTCTGTGACTCGCTCTTTTCATTTAACAGAGAACACTTAGAGAGCTTTCCATGTTTATACAGTTAGGTCTACAGCATTCTTTTTACAGCTGCCCATGTATTTATCTGTTTTTCCACTGGTGGACATTTAGGTTGTTTGTGGTATTTTCCTATATAAGCAATTCTTCAGTGAATATCCTTACACAGCACCTTTTGGTACATGAGTCTTTCTTTAGGATAGATCTATCAGTCTTTCGCATATTTGCCAATTTTATAGGGTAAAAAAGATACTTCATCTTCATTTGCATTTCATAATTGGTTTAGGCTCATGGTCTTTATTTTTCTTCAGATTTACAGGGATACCATCAGTGTTACATGTTTGATTTATCTCTTGTTTTAAAACTAATTAAATTGATGTTGAGTTACCTATAGAACCAAACTCTATCTAGGGAGCAGTCCCTGTTATACCTGGAGGCCAAAACCATTCTTAGGGAAGTGGTAGATAAAGTTCTCTTGTCGCACCCTTCCCCCTCCCCATCACATGCACACACACATGCACACGCAAACCCACACACACACCCCCAGCCTTAGCACTGTTAGAAAATCTCTGACAGATTTCTTTCCTGGGTAGAACTTCTACATAATAATGAAAAATCAGCATGTGGTTTTAACCCATAGCCCATTTTAAAATTTGAATTAGTAGAGGTACTGATGCTGTTATTTTAGTCTTTAACAGCATAGACAGATGTCTCCTGAATTTCGAAAGAAAAAATCAACGGTTGCTCTCTGTTTGAAGTTCTTGGGAAAGTGCTGATAAGCAATTTGAATAACGTAGTTGAAATGTTGTGGCTGACTTATTTCTGCGTATCATGACCTATTTTACCTCTTGTTAGTTTTAAAAACAAATTATTTCAAAAAAAATACTTCAAAAATATAACATTGTAGAGTAGGTTAGATTTAAAGAAATTTTAAAAAATTTAATTGATTTATGTCTTGTTTTTTTTTTAATCCTAACGTCTTCATCTTCTCCCCCATTCTTATCTCTACTTCTTTCACTAATACAAAAGCGAAAGGAAGGAATAACTGAGAAAGTTAATGATGTTGTTTGCCATCATCAGGAAAACTCAGTTCTCTTGCTTGCATTTCCCATTCAAACTCACTTTCTTCTTGGACATATTTTCATACCTGGGGTATTTGCATATTATTGATCATTTGTAATTCCTGGTCTGTTTTCTCCCCTCCCTGTTCAATAAGAGAAAGTTTCCTTTCCTTCTTATTGCTACTGTTGGGGGAAAAAAAAATAGAATTTAACGTTATTTGCTAAGGATGAGCTACCTTTGGAATTTCCACAATAAGTATTACCTTTTTAGGAGCAAACTTTTTGTGTTGTGTTTTAAAAATATCTTTGTGAGCATGGCAACTAAGTGTGGCAGACTGATTTTCTCTTTACCTTAACTGTTGAGCTTCATAAGTACAGGAATGGACGGAAAATCCGTGATGGCTCAGGACCTATTTTTATTGCTGCTACTTCAGTTTCTTCCAGCTATGATGGCCTTGGGTTTTGGATAGCCTGCAGTGTCTTAATTAAGTTTAGTCTCCACCAGATGTTTGTAGCAGACTGACATAAATTGCCTGATAGCCCTTGGATGCTGTATAGACATTTGCCAAATTGATCACAATACTCCATTTGTCTGTTTGATAATTTTATCGTTACTATTTTATGACTAGAAAATGAACCATATGATGATCACAGAGAATAGATAGTACTTTTCTTTCTCTGAATCTCTGTTAATGTCCATTTCTTTAGTGAGACTGTTTAGGAATAGAAAGATAGTCTTCCTAATCCTTTCCTTTTCCACATTAATCCTATAATAACCCTCTGTTTTTTCTCTGCCCCTGAGCCTCAGGCTCCTGACTTAGACTTAGGTGAAAAAGAAATGAGGAGTTTGGATGGTGAGTGTTCAGGACTTTATCCAGAGGTTTTGTGTTTTTCATGTGACTGTCAAAAAATATTAATTAATATGAATGTGATACCCTGAACAATATTTTAAGGTTGATGTGGTCTTGATATTCTCTCCATTTTGCATTCCCTTTTGCTTACTACTGCATTTTTAGGTGTCTGGGTCTGTAGTATAAAACAAGAGCCTCGGCTTTCCATTGGTACCTACACCACCAAATTCACACACTTTAAATATAATCAAAAGAGCTTCCTTTCTAATTAAGGATAAGTTCATCTCTGATTATAGAACAGGGGCAAACAATTATTTCATTTATTTAAAAGGCTATGTCTGTAACAGGCTTTGGCTTTTTCTTTGCCTAGTTTAAAGTGTTGATTTTCTTTACAAATAGTTTAGGAGCTTCTACCAGTTTAACCAAACTCTTTCTTGATTTGAGAAAGGTCTACTTTGTCCCCTTCTCCCTAATTTCTTCACCTCTATCACTATAATTTTTCCCTAATGAAGAACTTTTTAACTTCCTAGGCAGTGGGCACTCACCACCTAGTAGCAGTCTAACTTCTCCAAGCCATGTCAACTTGTCGCCAAATACAGTCCCAGAGTTCTCTTATTCTAGCAGTGAGGATGAATTCTATGATGCTGATGAATTCCATCAAAGTGGCTCATCCCCAAAGCACTTAATAGAGTAAGTAGCTGAACAAAGTATGTATTTAAATGACTCTCCTGATTTTTAAAAATGTAATTGGATTTTGAGATTGATATTAATGATAGACTGCCTTATAAGCTATTATTTTGGAAAAGTAAAAAAGGACAGCTTATTTTTAATTGGCACATTGAGCAGAATTAGTTCTGTGAAAGTATTGGTTTTGCTCCTGACATAATCCAAGTGGACTAGATAGCATCTACTGTAGTAATATACTAGTGTTGTTTACTGAATTATTGCTAATTTCTGTAGCACCAACATTCGGAGAGGGTCAGATGAGAGGAAGCGAGCTATGAAGTGTTACACAAATAAGAGGTTACTGTTATTTGTTTTTGTGTTAGAGTGGAGATGTTCGATAGTTTACTGAGTACCTACTATAAGCCAGGCACTCTGCTAGACAGATAGCACAGCAGTGAGAAGACATCTAGTCCCAGCCCTCAAAGAGTTTACAGTCTGTTGGGGGAACAAACAGACATTGATAATACAGTGGGATACGTGCTAAGGTAAGGATAAGCACAGGAAGCTATGGGAGTATTTTGAAGTCTTGAGAAGTCGTTGAAGGACGGGATGGGGAGGATATGATCCTAAGGTGAAATGTGGATGAGTAAAAAGAAGAGGAATGAGAGAGGGTGAGGAGAAGAGGGAAAAATGGATACGGAACCCATTTAAGAAAGCCTGCAGGCAGAGGGAGCTTGGTTTTTTAGGGGGAGTTACAAGTAGTTTAGCATGATTGTAGCATTAGTTATGGTAGGTGGTTAAAAAAAAAACAAAACAAAAAAACAAAGTGATAATGAAAAGGCTGACAAAGGACAGATCACGAAAGGGTCCGTTAGCCTTTTAAGAGTTTTGAACATTTTCTCATGAGTGATAGCAGTTGCTGGTCAGATTTGCATTTTAGGAAGATAGTTTTGCCTAAAGTAAGGAGCCCTGGTGGCTTACTTCTAAAGTAAGGAGCACGCGGCTGGTAACCAAAAGGTCAGCAGTTTGAACCCACCAGCTGCACTGTGGGAGAAAGATGTGGCAGTCTGCTTCAGTAAAGATTTAAAGCCTTGGAAACCTTATGGGGCAGTTCTGCTCTGTCCTGTAGGGTTAATATGAGTGAGTAGAAATTGACTTGATGGCAGTAGTGTTTTGTTTTGTTTTTTTCTTTTTTTAATATGTAGCATTGAGTACAGTGGGGCTAGATTAGAAGTGGGGAGACCAGCCAAAACCTGGTGGTAAATTTAGAAATCTTGATGAGCTAAGATAATAGCATTGGGGTGGAGGGAAGTGCATGATCCCAAAGGTGCTAAGTGGGCAGATTTGGCAGGTCTTATTTTTCCCTCATTAGAAAATATTTAACCTATTTTAAATTAAATGAAAGCCAGGTATATACCATTATACTGAAAACCGCTTTAACTGGCATCTGCCAAGTTATTTAAACCTATGTAATCCTCAGTTTCTTCATTTGTATTTTGATAATAATAGTTTTAACTTCGAGGGCTCATTATGAATATTTAAATGAGAATAATGTAAGTCAAATGCTGGCACATAATAAGAGCTAGTAAAGCAAAATAATTTCTTCCTTTCCTTGAATTTTACTTGTATTTGTTACAAACGTGGTTGGCTTAGTTGTGTATTATTTCCAATTCTCCTGCTTTCTCACGGTCTGGTGCTATTGCTACAACTTGTATTTTGCTTTGTAAGATGGTACACATTTGGAGAAGATTATTTGTGAGTGTACAAGCTAGTACCATCAGCCAGTCCTAAGTCCTTTGAATCCTGCTTTCTTTTACTAAGAAATATTATATAGGAATCTGGATTTCTTACGTGCATACAGGAACTGAGAAATATGGTGTTTATGTATAATTACATCCTAACTGCTCAAAATCTCAGACATTTATAAGGAAAATGATGATGTTGGTTCATGAAGTTTTTTCACTCATTGGAACAAATTCAGCCTTTGAATGTGGGATAAAGTGACCTAGTTGAACGTATACTGTTAAATGGGTATTGAGTTAAGGAAGGAGGTCTGAACCCACAATTTCAAGAAGGCCAATTTAGCAGAAAGGAGTTGGTTTAGCTCATTGGTTCCTTTTCTTAGTACTGTATGTTGGGAAGTAAACTGTTGAGAAACCATTATTAGCAGTTTGCTAATGGAAACTTCGTGGGGGCAGTGGTGGTTCAGTGGTGGAATTCTCACCTTCCGCATAGTTGTACCTAATGTGCAACCACCACCCGTGTACCTGTGGAGGCTGGCGTATGGCTATGATGCTGAACAGGTTTCATCAGAGTTTCCAGACTAAGGTGGACTAGAAAGACAGGCCTGGTGATCTACTTCTAAAAATCAGCCAATGAAAACCCTATAGATCACAATGGTCAAATCGCCAACCAATCATGGGGTACAGGATAGGGCAGGGTTTTGTTCCATTGTGCGTGGGTTTTTGACAGCAGCTAACAGCACCAACAGAAATTTTACTCTAATTTTGAAAAATGTTTTTCTGTGATAGTAGAATTAAAAGAAAATATGAGTTTGGAAGAAAATTCCAACGTCAGGAATAAATGGTTATTATTGATTTTTAAAGTGTTCTATCATGATTTTGGTTCAGCCGAATTAAGGACAGGTTCCTGTACTGGACATTAGTAGTATTCTAAGCAAAGTACAATCAGTTATGGCTTGCTAGGAAATGGACTCATCTGTCCAACCTCTAAAAGCTTATAACTGTATTCAGTAAAAGCTTGATAATATGTGCCTAGCCTCTTTATAACATCACTGTTAGTCTCTGGCCCTAGTTTCAAGGGTTCTCCTAAAATTTTCATAAAGTAAGTTTTTTAAAAATGCTTATGGGCATATCTACAAAGTCCTTCAGACTCTTGGGCTCCTCCTTTTTTCCCTTCTCGTAAACTTTCTTCTCTGAGCCTGCTCTGTAACCTGCCCCGTAACACATACACAGTTCATGAACCTCCCATTTAAAATGATCTAGTGTTTTAGTAAGTAAGAAATAACTCCCTTTGTATATCTGGTTAACCCACTCTGGTTCCTTTTCTCTCTCATTTTCACAGTTTCCCTCTGTGCCCTAATCTAGATTCCCAAACTGGTAGGGACTGCGTATGTTTTATATGGCCGTCACAGTGTTCTGTTGATTTGTTTTTGTTTTGTTTTAAGTCCCTTCAGATTGGGTGTGCTGGCTCCAGTTCCATATTGTCTTATAGCCTGGCTCTGTTCACATGTTTGTTTTCTGCCTGGCCTCTGTAGGCGTTTGAGTCTGTGACACCTGCACATCATTAGCTGCTACCACTAGTTTTCTAACTCTCGGTCAAGAGAGAACTTGAAAGCTTAAGTCCTTTCACTGTTCTGTTTTTAAAGACCTATGGGAATGATAGCTTCTGTGTGAACTATGTTATTGAACAGTGTGGTTTATGCATTTATAAACTAGAGGAAAGTACATGTTGGAAAGAACTTGTACTTTGGAGCTAGGCTTCAGTTTAAGATGACTCCACTACTTACCAGCATTGACCCTCTGAGCATCTGTGAATTATGAGAGTAAACAGGTCTAGCTTGTAGGGTTATTATGGAGATTAGATTAGTATGGAGATACATATAGTATATGGCACATACTAGGTACTCAATAAATTGTTGTTTTTATAATTAAGTTTGGAGCTTTAAACTTTTTTATGTACTTTATGTATGATCTTATAACTAAGTTCTAGCCAAGTTAGTCCTTTGCTATATGCACACAGTTTTTGTCGATGTTGTTTTTAGCCATATTCTTTAAATTACATGGCCTGAATGAGGTAAATTGTGGAATGGCTGGGAATTTGTCTCCCCACCCCCCACCCCCATTTTTGAACCTTAAACTAAGCATTTCACTTGGCCCAGCCATGGTTTTGAACCATGGATAAGGAGGAAATGTACAGCATAAATAGATCTGGCCTTTGGAATTGCATCTAAAATGAGATTCGTGTTTTACAGAATTTGGGGTTTTTAGATCAATTGATTTAAAAGATTAACTCTATTTTGATGATGTGTCAAAGAGCCACAAAACATTTTGAAGATAATTTTCATGCAGCTCTTTGTATTTAACAATAATTTGATTTCTCTTACCTAGGTCTTTTACTCATATTTTCCATTGGCTCTCAAAACTGGTGAGGTAGACATTAGTTACAGTACCTTGTGATGTATACTACTAAATTATCAAAGAAGCAATATTTAGTTACCTAAGGATTTTTGAAAAATAGATCAAAAGAAGGTAAGTAACCAGGGCAAACTATGTTTAAATTAGTATACATAATAATGTGTCACACCTATAGAGTTGTAATAAGACTGATATTATGTTATATGTACTGTTTTATAAATAATATCTGCAGTGTGAAAAATTTGGTTTCTATTTTTATACTTAAACTGTATGTCTTTCTGATTGTTTTATTTATATACAAATGTTATCCTGGGAAAGTTATATCACAGGTATAACAATTTTTAGAGGAACCTTTCTTTTCGACTTTGTTAACCAGCTCATAATTCCAGTTACTATAAATTTAATTGTAAAAATAATATGCTTTTTTATTTTATAATTTCAAATACAGTTTTAATGATTGGGAAGAGTCTTAATACCAGTGTGGGCTTTTATCAAAGGATCTCAAAAACGTAGACAAGACATCTTTCTGAGAATAAGTAATAGACTATTGGTATTTTTAAGGTTTGGAAATTGTTGCTAAGAATTGTGACATAGCTACATTTATGTAATGTAACAAAATAAAAAAAATGAACTCTTAATTTTAAGCTTAATAGATGCAGAGGCAAAATCTCACTAATTTTTAATGACCCCTATGCACTGCCTTTTCAGTATGGCTTGGTTGAGGACACTGTGCATAAAGCACAAGACGAGACCTTGTCATCAGATTTTACAGTTTACAATCCTGGAGTGAGGGTGGCAGGGAGGGAGGTGGAAGGCATATATATCTATTTATGTAGCCAGCTAACTATAAAAGTCCAGTGTGTTTCTGTCAGTTACCTGCATATATTGGTTTTAAATAGCTTTATGGGTTAATATCTTAACGATGATTCTGAATTGCTTAAGAGATTGATTAATGTTTTTTTAGTTCCTCTGGATCTGCCTCAGTCTTGACACACAGCAGCTCGGGAAATAGTCTAAAGCGCCCAGACACCACAGAATCACTTAATTCTTCCATGTCCAATGGAACAAGTGATGCTGGTAAGTGATCATTGAGAATTTAACTTTTTTTTTTTTTTCTTAAAGACATTTGCAATACTGGTTGTAGCACTGACTGACCCAGTTTAACACCAGTCTAAGAAGATCTGTTTTATTTTAGACCTTTTCGATTCCCACGATGATAGAGATGATGAAGGGGAGGCCGGGTCAGTGGAAGAGCACAAGAGCGTGATCATGCATCTGTTGTCCCAGGTTAGGCTTGGAATGGATCTTACCAAGGTAAGAGTCAGAGTTGGCATTTGCTGAAAAGTGTTAAGGTGTGTGTGGGGCTTCTCCATGATAGTGTGGTGTGTGTGGCTGCTGATACAGTATACTGACATCACTTCTATTTATATATTGTGTCTTGTATTGAATATATACATAGATGAGTAAATTGCAAGTTTTTATAAATGGATGAAATAAGTGAAGCTAGAATAATTCCATAGGGAATAGTATGCATGGCTTGTATGGTTTAAGATTTGGATTTTATTTGGGGCAAACAAGGAGCGGTACTGGGCTTGGTTAGTAGTTTTGACAAAGCCTGAAGTCGTGTTCTGTGCACAGAATCAAAATGAACAGAGTGCTGATCTTAAGGTCAGAGAACCTGAGTTTGCATCCTGTCTCTGCTGTTAGTAAACTGTGTCCTTGAGCAAGTCCCTTCCCTGTGATCTTTAGGGTCCTTGTATGCAAAATAGACGTACAGTGACCTACTTCATAGGGTCGTTGTAAGTATTGAAAGAAGTAGTGAGTGGAAAATTATATGGCACATATGTGTTCAGGAAATATCGTGGTCCAAATTTGAATTTAAACTTGTAGCTCTGAACAGAATGACCAATTGATTTGGGGAACTGGTATGTGGATACTTTTGTATACCTCTGTCTAGAAGCCTCATCCTTTCATTTAATTCTTACCACAGCACTGCAAAGTAGGTGTTACTTCTGATTCTTTTGTAGGTGAGGAAACTAAGATGCGTAAGAGATTAAGTAACTTGACTAAATCACAGTATGTGTGACAGAACTGAGATCCTAACCTTATCTGTGATTTCAGAACCTGTAATCTTTCCGCTGTTGTGGCTTATCTTGAACCCTTGAGCTGCAATAACTTTCGTATTAATTGAGTTACTATTCCACTTGGCTTTAGAAATTCAACAAAATTTAGGATTCTTTCTTTCATTCTGCCCAAATCAACTCCAGTACTGTAAATAGTCTGTTAGTAGTGAGCTTCCTTTTGGTTCTGGATTTAGAGGACCATTAAGGAAAAAAAAAAACAATGACCCACAATACTTTCTAGTAAGTTTCTATAATAAAACCTTTTACCCTAAATCTAAATGAGAACAGAAGTACAAGGATAGCATTAATTTGTGAAGTCCAACATACTTGCCAGGAATGCTGTAGGTAAGAATATTCGCGGGAGTTTGTCACCAGAATTGCTTCAGTGATAATTAGATGGTATAACTACTGGAGCAGAATTGTCACTTCATATTTGAAAGTTGTAGCTTAATGTCGACATCTGTAATATAGCTCTTTGCTGCTGCTTCCACCTTGGCTGGTTTTGGCCTCGATTAACAGAAGACCAACCTAAAGGCAACTTGAACAATGCTAGGTTTACTGTCTCATATAATGAGGACTCCAGGGGTAGAGTAGCTCCAGAATTGATTATTTCTGTAGGTTGACAATGTGAGAAAGGACCTAGGTGCCTTCAGTCTCTCTGTTCTGCCATCCTTAACATGCTGGCTGTTTTTTCTCACAGGCTTATCTCCTTGTCATTGCAAAACTGGCTGCTACACTTCCAGGCATCACATCCTTATACAAATATGTTAAGAGGCAGAAAAATAATTTCTTTTCATGGATTTTTTTTTTTTTTTTAATTGGGAAGAACGGTCTTTTCCAGCAATGACCTGTAACCTACTAGTGTCAGAAGTCGCCTAACTTCAGGGAGGATAATGAGAATTACCATCAGCCCAGAGCTGATTTTTGTGAGGTGCAGGTCAGGCATACTCCTCTCTCCAAAGTTTTCATCTTTTCTGAGACCAGCTGTCCTTCCACAGCGCTGTCTACTTCTCTGCTGGGTTCAATGATTTGTTGCAGTGACCACACAGAACTCAGACTGTTCTCACGATTATGTGGTTTATTAGGGAAGTAATAGAATACGATTCCGGGATCAGGATCGGCTTGGAAGTACCAGGATACAACTCAGGAGACAGGATACAGTTGATCAATCAGGACAACTTCCAACCAAGACAGCTCTCAGCTTCTTCTCAGCCATGGCTGCCAGTAGTCCCTTCACTCGGCTGTGCCCGCTGCTGGGCCTTCTCTTAGTTGTGCCTGCCACCAGGCCTTCTCTTGGCTGCACCTGCTGCTAGATCTTCTCTAGGCCTCTGCTCTGCTCAGGCAAGTGTTATAGTGCTTTAGCTTGGCTGACAAGTGTGTGGAGGCATCCCACTCTGCTAGCAAGCCTCCTGCCCAAAGACATTTAGCTCTCTCTTGGCTCAGTGGGCTGGAAAGCCCACTGTGGCCATATGCTGGTCTGTGGTTCTTGCTGCTCATACTGCTGCCACCATTTCTCTGCTGCTGGGCTCTGCTGTGCTTGCCACTGCTTCTCGCCATCTTCAGTGTTACAGCTCTCTCTTCTGGGTCTAGGAGGCTGTCAGTGCAGAGACCCTGGGTGCAAAGGATGTGTTCCGCTCAAGGCTCTTCTTGATGGTAGTGAGGTCCCCCCTCAACCTCTGTGGGATTGGTCCTTATATTCAATTTCAAGGCATGGCCCTCCCAACCAGACCATGAACTAACCAATCCCCTTAATAGACCACAGTAACTTAATTTGCATAATAATTTACAATTCCTGAAAGGCCACTTAATCCTATTGGGTTGTTTACATACCCTATTTGCATATTAGACTAACCAATCCCTTGTAATATTGTGATCCAATCAGTCATTTTTGGCAGAATTAGAAGCCCAAGGTCAGACAGGCCAGGTATAAGAGAAACCTATTTGTACTGCATGACCTGTCAGACTTCCCGTTGAATCTCAATGGCCAGAGTTAGGCATGTGCCTGTCTGTAAGCCAATCACTGGCAAAGGAAGTAGAAATGGAATTAAATGATTAGATTAATCAGCATTCACTCTTTGAGATCCAGAAGAATCCTATGACTCCCGTGTCAGCTTATAACCGGAATCTGAACTGAATCAGAGTTCTGTTACTAGGGATGAAGCAGGTATGTGAGTGGTTGTTATTGTTACATACCATCGTGTCGATTCTGACTCATAAAGACCCTATAGGACAGAGTAGAGCTGCCCCATAGGGTTTCCACGGCTATAATCTTTACAGAAGCAGATTGCCATATCTTTCTCCTGTGAAGCAACTGGTGGGTTTGAACTGTCTGTGTTTCTGTTGGCCAAGCACTTAACCACTGTGCAACCAGGGTCCTTTAGGTACATGGGTAGGCAACTCAAAAGTACAGCATAATCAGGTTTGTAATTCTTGCCTCACATAATTTTCTCTGCCATATAATCCATGTTTGGATCTGTAGCCACTAAAAGCTTGTTTTATTAAGAATGATACTATAATTGTTATTTTTTACCTAATGTGCTAAAAATTAGCTGTTTTCAAAATTTTTATTGGCAGAAACAAATGGCTAACAACTGCCAACAGATTCTAAAATCTTGATGACTTTTATATATTACAAACACCCACTGCTGTTGAGTTGATTCCAACTCATAGTGACCCTGTAGGGCAGAGTAAAACTGCCCCATAGATTTTCCAAGGTTGTAAATCTTTACAGGATCATGCTGCCACATCTTTCTCCAGCAGAGAGGCTGGTGGGTTCGAACCACCGGCCTTTCATTTAGCAGTTGAGTGGGTACCACTGCACCACCAGGGCTCCTTGGCATTACAAAGTATTATTAAAAATAATACATTAACTTTGTATCTTATTTCCCTATTTATAAAAATATTTTCTCACTTCTGGTCCTTTTGGGAAAGAAATACTTTCCAAAAGAGTTACTCTCCAAATACTTTGTAGTGTTTGGAAATACTACAAAGTCACATCCATTCACCTCACTTGGTCTTCAGAACAACCCTAAGAGATGAGCAGGGCATTTAATTATCCTCCTTTTACAGAAACTTAGAGAAGTTAATTTTCCAGGGCCTCACAGCTAAGAAGTGGCAAAACAAGCACTTGAAGATAGCTAGCCCAGCTCTCTTTCATCACCACCCTAGCAGTTTGACATAATGACATTAATCAGTATAGTGCTAAAAACATTAATTATAGTTGAAATATCCTGAAGAAGACTGCTTGAATGAGAGTTCTCAAGCAAATTTTAAGTGTGGGGAAGAATAGTTTTTTCTTTGATTACAAGTGAAATCGAACTTTTTATGTTTGTTGGCTGTTTCTTCTTTTCGAACATTACCTATTCAATTCCTTTGTTCATTTTTCTACTGAAGTAGTCATCTTTTTCTTGTTGATTTTTAAGAGCTATTTGTATGTTAAAGGTATTTACTCCTGTTAGGTTGAAGGAAACAAAACCTATGGTTTTTGTTCTTTAGCATTCTTACTTAGGTGGTTTATAGTTGTGTTCTCCAAAGGTTGTAGCAATTTGCACCAAATTAGTACATAAGCATACCTGCCAATCTAATCGTATTTAGATTATGTATAAACATACATGTTCTGTGGAAGGAAAATGTTTACTTGAAATTTAACTGTCGGGGTCCTGGAGAGAGCTGGAGAAAAATGTAGAACAAAATTCTAACTCAGAGAAAAATACCAGACTTACTGGCCTGACAGAGACTGGAGAAACCCCGAGAGTATGGCCCCCCACATCCTTAGCTCTGTAATAAAGTCACTCCCGAGGTTCACCCTCCAGCCAAAGTTTAGACAGCCCCATAAAACCAAACGAGACTAATGGGGCACAACAGCCCAGGGACAAGGACTAGAAGGCAGGAGGGGACAGGAAAGCTGGTAATAGGGAACCCAAGGTTGAGAAGGGAGTGTTGACATGTCGTGGGGTGGTTAACCATTGTCATAAAACAATGTGTGTACTGTTTAATGAGAAACTGTTCTGTAAACCTTCATCTAAGGTACAATAAAAATTTAAAGAAAATTTAACTCTAGAGTTTGATAATAAAGATTCTAAATGTTATAGCCTTAGTGTCCTTTTGCAAGCTTGTGTCCCACCAGCCCTCTTTATATACCCAGCCACACTGGTTTAGTGGTTAATTCCTTTCGCACTCCATTTCTTCATATTTTGTTCTTCTGTCCCCACCACCCCTAATCTACTGCAGTCTTACTCTTCCCTAAGGCTCTTCTCTAGTGCCATCTCACCTCTGCCCTAATTCTGGTTCCCAAACAAAACATGATCTTCCCTCTCCTGAGCTTCCAGGGCACTTTGAGCATCTCTTGTATGACATTTGTCACATTCCACCTAAAATTTAAATGCAGGGACTATTCTCTCATATTTACCTTTACCTTCTCCATGGCTTTTACTGTAGGACCCTGAATGTAGTGATATGCAGTAATTACTAGATTTAAAGGAATTTTTGTTTACTCTGGTGCTGTAGTATTAGTGGTTAAGTGCTGCGGCTGCTAACCAAAGGGTTGGCAGTTCACATCCGCCAGATGCCACTTGGAAACTCTATGGGTCAGTTCTACTCTGTCCTATAGGGTCACTATGAGTCAGAATTAACTCGACGGCAACAGGTTTTTTTTTTCTTCCTGCTCCCATAATAAGCAATTAATGATTTGTTACAGATTTCAAAATATCATCTATTTCCTAATGAAATTCTTTCTTTATTCATTAATCCTCATCTTTCTCGTTCTGTCTCCCCATAATCTAATTTCCAATCTCATTTACTTTCCTCTACCACATTTCTAGCTTCTTAGCATTTTTCCTTCATGCCCCATGGTAGAGTGTGTTGATTCCCAGTCTTTAGTCTCTTCTTCCTTTATTTCTTCAGTTGCTAATTTAAAAATTCCTTACCATGTAATAGGAGCTGACAGTATAAGTATGAGTAAAACTTAGTCCTTGCATTCCAGGAGCTCACACAGATGCATAAATACCTACATTTCTTAATATCTGTCTAGAGATGACAGAGAAGCAGCAGTAGAGAGGAAAGCGCACACACTCCTAGAGTCAGACTCAATTTTAAGTTCCATGCATGGGACAGTGAGAAAATTTCCCTGAGCTTCATTTTTCTCCTCTGTAAAATGGGATAATAATTTATTCATCGTAGGGCTGTTGTACAGTATTAATAAGATAATGTATATGTAATGCCCCAATAAATAGTAAGTACTCACGGAGTATTGCTGCTGAGTATTTTGTCATCCTTATTACACTTACTGGTGGAGAAATGGGAGATTGCGTAGAGGAAGTGACATGTGAACATTCAAAACTTCTTTTGTTTTTCTCCTGCTGGGCAGGTTAATGGGCAGTCATGAATCAGAACAGTTTGGGAAGTAGCTGTCAAAGGCATGCCTGGGCAATACTTGGTGGGTGTGACTATAATTGGAATGAATTTTTTAAAGCAGTTGGACAATCCCTTTGTCCTTAGTGGAATATGATCCTCAAAGGTCAAATGTGTATGTTTTTCAGGTAGTTCTTCCAACATTTATTCTTGAAAGAAGATCTCTTTTAGAAATGTATGCAGACTTTTTTGCACATCCGGACCTATTTGTGAGGTATTTGACTGAAAGTACTTTTCCTGTTTTTTAAGATGTTACTCCGTAGCTTTTGTCCTTTGCAGGGTAGGTGAATTCCTTCTACCTTTCATACCTTTCTGGGTAAAGTGTCATTGAATATTTTGCTTATATTGGATGTCCATCTATTTGCTTAGGCTGTATGGCAGTGATGATGTTAGGTAACCAAATTTAACACCTAGAAAATCTTAAGAGCCCATTAATAAGTGACCAGTATTTATAGGGGCCAGGGCTATGCACTTACCTGATCCAGGGACTGGTGATCACTGCTAAATTATTTACACTATATCCTCATGAAATTCAGTTAATTGAGTTCAGCAGACCTTGCTAAAGTACTTGTTGTCAAGCACTTTTTTATAAAGTGGAGAAACAAAGAATAAGTCATAGTGTCTGCCCTTGTGGAGCTTACAGTCGAGTGTCCAGATTACAGATTGACTCATAAATTTAAAAAATAAACCTTATTATATACATGTACAAGGGTGGGATTGATTTACAAGGAGGTGAATTCACGTTGCTTTTCACTGGCAGTGGAGAAGTTTTCTTTGTAATGGGAAGTATTCTAATTGATCGTCTCTGATGGTTTGCCTTGGCCTTAGACTGTGGTTTTCTGAAGTCAGTGCAGATCACCAAGGTTTCACAGTGGGTAGCACATTGGCTGACACTGATATATATCTTTCCTCCTTGATGAAGATTTAAAAGATCCATTTAATCAATGCCTACTGGGCAGAAATTCAAATAAATATGGCAGTGTTTAAATTACCAGACAGTCGAACAAATGAAATGTAAACATTTATTGGCGATTTGTGTAAGTAAAAATAGAAAGTACCAGTTGTTTATTAGATGCAGATTTGAGATTCAAGGGTAGTTTTTATATGTGAGAATTTGAACGTTGAGGTTCCTAGAGCAAGCACTTAAGAAATGCAAACATATAGCTAAAAAGCCATTAGATAAGATAAAGTAGAATACTAAAAATACTTGATTATCTCCCAAAAAAGGAGGAAAGGAGAAATGATGGTACAAGAAACAGGGGGGACAAATAGAAAACAAATATCAAGGTGGTAGAGTTAAACCTAGCTATATCAGTAATGGAAGCCCTGGTAGCACAGTGGTTAAGAGCTTGGCTGCTAACCAAAAGGTTGATAGTTGAATTTACCTGCTGCTCCTCAGAAACCCTATGGGGCAGTTCTACTCTGTCCTATAGGGTTGTTGTGAGTGGGAGTCGACTCGTCGGCAACGAGTTTGGTTTTGGTTCTATCAGTAATGACACTAAATGCAAATGGAATACACACTTCATTGAAAAGATAGCTGTTTTCAAACTAGATAAAAAAGCAAGATCCATCTATTTTGCTCTTTGCAAGAGACAGACTTTAAAGACACTGATTGGTTAAGACTACAAGAATGGACAAAGATATACTATTCAACTGATGTAGCTGAATTAGTATCAGACAGAGGAGACTTTTAAGACAAGGAATATTACCAGAGACAAATAGGGACATTTTATAATGATAAAACCCCCATTGCTGTCAAGGGTCAATTTATCAAGAATGAATAATAATCCTAAATGGCTGTGCACATAATAATACAGCTTCAAAATACATAGAGCAAAAACTGAATTAAAGGGAGAAATAGAGAAATCTATAATCGTAGTTGGAAATTTCTGAGGAATTGATTGAACAAATAACTCCCCCCAAAAATAAAAAAATCAGTAAGGCTATAGAATATTTGAACAACACTATCAGTCAGCTTGACCCATTTGACCTTTCTAAACACGTCTTAGTCATCTAGTGCTGCTATAACAAATAACACAAGTGGATGGCTTTAACAAAGAGAAGTTTATTCTGTCAGAGTCTAGTAGGCTACAAGTCCAAATTCAAGGCATCAGCTCCAGGGGAACACTTTTCTCTGTCGGCTCTGGAGGAAGGTCCATGTCATCAGTCTTCCCTTGGTCTGGGACTTCTCTGCACAGGAACCTCAGGTCCAAAGGACAAGCATTGCTCCCAGCACTGCTTTCTTGGTGGTATGAGGTCCCCATGTGTCTCTGCTCGCTTCTCTCTTTTATATTTCAAGAGAGATTGGTTTAAGACACTATCCAGTCTTGTATACCTCATCAGTATAACTGCTGCTAATCCTTCTTATTACATCATAGCGATAGAGTTTACAACACATAAGGAAATCATTTCACATTACGAAATGGTACACAATCATACAATACTGGCAATCATGACCCAGCCAAGTTGACAGATATTTTGGGGGGCACAGTTCAATCCATGACACATGACATCCAGCAACTGTAAAACAGTCTTTTCAAATGCATATGAAACAGTCATCAAGATAGATCATATGACCAAAACCAAACCCATTACTGTCGAGTCGATCCCAACTCATAGCGACCCTATAGGACAGAGTAGAACTGCCCCATAGGGTCTCCAAGGAGCGGCTGGTGGATTTGAACTGATGACCTTTTGGTTAGCAGCCAGGCTGTTAACCACTGTGCCACCAGGGCTCCAATATGAGGTTGTGGAACAAGCAAAACTAATCTTTGGTACTAGAAACCAGCATGGGGCTTGGGAATTGCTTGGACAGGGGCATGCAGCAATTTTTTTGGGTTAGTAGAAATGTTCTGTATCTTTTATCAAAACTCATCAAACCATACACTCAAGATCTGTGCATTTAGCTGTATGTATATATTTTAAACAGAAACTTTAGGGTAACTCCTGGTCGTGGGACCTCTCAGCCTGGCTCAGGGTAGACATTTCCTTGCTGGGGGCTCAGGCATCAGCTTATATACTGCCAAAAAGCCAGACATTAAATTATGTCTTTTTCCATTTCAGCATTAGTGACCAAAAGGATCCCAGGGATCGAATGGTTCAGGTTGTGAAGTGGTACCTCTCAGCCTTTCATGCGGGAAGAAAAGGATCAGTTGCCAAAAAGCCATACAACCCCATTTTGGGTGAGATCTTTCAGTGTCACTGGACGTTACCAGATGACACTGAAGAGAACGCAGTAAGTTCTGCACTGGCATTTTTACGTTATCTTAAGTTGTATACTGATTCAAGCTTTCATTTTATTTGGGGGCAGATAATAACTGATGAAGGCAATGATCAAAACCTGCTCCCTGCCTGTAGAACAGTGTTGTTGGATCAGCGTGTTTTGAACATGGTGAACAAAGGGAAAAAGTGGCATGAGATGAAGATGGAGGTTTAGAAATAAGATCATGCAGGACCTTATAGGCCATAATGATGATTTTATGGTGTGTCAGGATGTCATTTTTGTTTGGAAAAGATTATGATGTTTTTGTGGAAAATAAATTAGAAGGAGGCAAAAACTGAAGCAGGGAGACCATTGAGGAAGCTTTGGCATTATTTCAGGAGAGAGATGGTTGATTCAAGATATATTTTGGAGGTAGAACTGATAGATGGATGGGGGGAGATAAAGGAAAGTGGGTAATCGGGAGTGAATCCTTACAGGTGGGCTTCAGCAATTGGTTGGTGCCATTTACTGAAAAGGAAAAGATTGGATTTGGGGAAGGGAAAATCAAGAGCTCCAATTTGAAATGCAAAGCATGAGAGGTCTGTTAGACATGTAAGTGAAACTTTCAGATAAGGAGTTGGAATTTTAAGAGTCTGGAGTTTAGGGGAGAGGTCTGGGATGGGGATAAGGCTTTCAGGGATTTTAGTATATTTAGATGGCACTTAAAGTCCTATGATTTAATGAAGTCATCTAGGAAGATGGTACAACTACAGAAGAGTAGATAACCCCGAACTGAGAACCAGAGCTCCAACATTCAGGTTTGGTTTGAGGAAGAAGACCAGCAAAGAAGACTCAATTGAATGCTAAAAAGCCTCTCAGGGTGTTAAAAAAAAAAAGAAAGAAAAACCCCTAACCCACAGTTTCGGGTGTGCCAGATAATAGTCTTTCAGCAAGCATGAATTTGTATCTTTCCCTTTCTCAGTGACATGTTACATGTAGTCCTTACTGAAGACAGATGCAGTATGTCTGTTCCTATTCATTTGGCAGACATTGGTAGTTGCCCACTCTGTGCCAGGCCTGGCCCTGTATTAGGCCCATGATCCTTGCCTTCAAGAATCTCTTAGTCTAGTTAGGGAGACTGACACAAAACAATAATTGCAGTAGCATAATTAAGTGCCATAAGAGAAGTAAGTATAGGGTGCTTTGGGTGTGTTCCCAAATTGAAGCACTTTGGGAGGCAAAGACTCCAGTTAACCAGTTTCTGTAGTGTTATTTTTGTTTCTACATCAAAAGAAAATGTTATATTTCCTTACAGGAGCTAGTTTCGGAAGGACCAGTTCCTGGGGTTTCCAAAAACAGTGTAACATTTGTGGCTGAACAGGTTTCCCATCATCCACCCAGTAAGTTACAGCACTCCTCTGCAGCATCCACTCTCAGACACAACGTTGTGTCTAAAGAGGCTCATTAAAAGCTCTGTAATTGAGGTCACTTTCCTCTCAGTTGTATGGCTGGCTGTGTCTTCCCTGCCACCTGAGGTGGAGGCTCACTTGATTGGTTCCTACTATCTGTTCCTTGTATAAAGTTCCAAAGACTCCTTTAGCTTCACTGATTATAAATAAAAAGAAGGAATTTGGGAAATAAACTTTTATTGCTCCTGAAGTCATCTCGTACATAATGAACTGTGCTGTAGAGACCTCAGAAACCTTGAGATATTTTGTATGAATGAATTGTGGTGTATATATTCTTGGCAGAGCGGATACAGTACTTACCCTCAATGTCCTGTTTGCTGAATGCAGTGTTGAGGCTGGAAATACTGGATGGGCCCAGGATGGGGATGGGGCAGGGCATACTTGGCTGTCCAGGAAAATATACAGTCCTTTGATTTGAAGCCTCCTGGATTGGCCACCGCCTCATGGTCAGGGAAGCTCCTGCCCACATGGCCTTGAAAGAAGGCTTGCATTGGGGAAACAGGCTTTTCTTTAAGAAGTAAGGAATTTCCCCATGGAGCCAGATCTTTCCCTAGACTAAAGGAGTTGGGAAGGTGGCTGTAGCTGTATAGTACATTAATTGAAAACAATTTCTATTCAGTTTCAGCTTTTTATGCTGAGTGTTTTAACAAGAAGATACAATTCAATGCTCATATATGGACCAAGTCAAAATTCCTTGGGATGTCAATTGGGGTACACAACATAGGGCAAGGTGAGTCTGGGGGCATGGTGTGGATTGCAATGTTAACAGGAGAATTTTATGTCATTCTGATATATGCTGAACACTTGGCTAGTAAGAGGAAATAGCCCCAGAAAGCCAGACTCGATGTCATTGCTTGCATGGAAGGGTATGTACTAGGGGCAAGAACAGGGGTGGGGAATGAGATTGGTTATCCCTAATTGGAATAGGGTGTCCCTCAACTGGACAGCAGAGCCTTCTGGCCAGTTAACCCTACTCATCAGAGATTCTGTCCCTTCTCTCCACAGGCTGTGTCTCGTGTTTAGACTATGATGAACATTACATTCTCACGTTCCCCAATGGTTATGGAAGGCAAGTAGTGCTGTGTCCATTTGCTCTGATCAGCAGCAGACCCTGCTGTTTCTTAAACGACTGTCTTCCTCCCTTTCCTCTGAACTGTCAACCTTACCTGAAAACTTTTGATTTTCCAGGTCTATCCTCACAGTGCCCTGGGTGGAGCTAGGAGGAGAATGCAATATTAGTTGTTCCAAAACGGGCTATAGTGCAAATATCGTCTTCCACACGAAACCATTCTATGGGGGCAAGAAGCACAGAATTACCGCTGAGATTTTGTAGGTATTTTATTTTTCTGCCTTGGTTCTCTTCTGGCTTCTCTGAAATACTTTTCCTTTTGTCTTGAACTGTAACTTCTCTGTTAGGAATTGACCATTTTAAAAGTTCTGACTTTGTAAACTTGTTTCACATCTGGTGTGTCATGTGTCTGCCTAAGTTCCTATATCAGGACACCTAAAGCCTGAATTCAGAACAACCAGAGTTCCTTCCTAAGAATCTGATTTGCAAATGGGGTGCTAGAAGGAGTTTTTCCAGGTTGCCCTAGCTAATTCCTTTATAATAAGCTTCTAGGATTCTTTGGGCAAAATACTGAATGACGCAGGAAGCATCAAAAGAAGATGGAAGTAATACACAGAGTCACTGTACCAAAAAGAATTGGTTGATGTTCAGCCATTTCAGGAGGTAGCATGTGATCAAGAACTGATGGTACTGAAGGAAGAAGTCCAAGCTGCACTGAAGACATTGGCAAAAAACAAGGCTCCAGGAATTGACAGAATACCAATCGACATGTTTCAACAAACAGATGTAGCGCTAGAAGTGCTCACTCGTCTATGCCAAGAAATTTGGAAGACAGCTACCTGGCCAACCGACTGGAAGAGATCCATATTTATGCCTATTCCCAAGAAAGGTGGTCCCAGCAGAATGCAAAAATGATCAAGTAGTATCATTAATATACTTGGAAACCCTATGGGGCAGTTCTACTCTATCCTATGGGGTCACTTTGAGTCGGAATTGACTCGTTGGCACACAACAACAACATCGTTAATATCACATGCAAGTAAAATTTTGCTGAAGATAATTCAAAAACTATTGCAGCAGTAGATCAACAGGGAACTGTCAGAAATTCAAGCCAGATTCAGAAGAGTATGTGTAACTAGGGATATCATTGCTGATGTCAGATGGATCCTGGCTGAAAGCAGAGAATACCAGAAAGATGTTTACGTGTGTTTTATTGACTATGCAAAGGCATTCTACTGTGTGGATCATAACACATTATGGATAACATTGTGAAGAATGGGAATTCCAGAACACTTAATTGTGCTCAAGTGGAACCTGTACGTAGACCCAGAGGCAGTCATTTGAACAGAACAAGGGGATACTATGTGGTTTAAAGTCAGGAAAGATGTGTATCAGGGTTGTATCCTTTCACCATAGTTTTTCAGTCTGTATGCTGAGCAAATTATCCGAGAAGCTGGACTATATGAAGAAGAACGGCATGAGGATTAGAGGAAGACTCATTAACAACCTGCGTTATGCAGATGACACAACTTTGCTTGCTGAAAGTGAAGAGGACTTGAAGCACTTCACTGATGAAGATCAAAGACCACAGCCTTGAATATGGATTACACCTAAACATAAAGAAAACAGAAATCCTCACAACTGGCCCAATAAGCAAAGATAAACAGAGAAAAGATTGAAGTTGTCAACGATTTCATTTTATGGGATCCACAATCAGTGCCCATGGAAGCAGTAGTCAAGAAATCAAATGATGTATTACATTGGGCAGATCTGCTTCAGAAGACCTCTTTATTAAAAAGCAAAGATGTCACTTTGAGGACTAAGGTGCGGCTAACCCAAGCCATGGTATTTTCAGTCACCTCGTGTATGTGAAAGCTGGACAATGAATAAGGGAGACCAAAGAAGAATTGATGTATTTGAATTGTGGTGTTGGCAAAGAATATTGAATGTACCATGGACTGTGAGAAGAACAAACAGGGTCTGTCTTGGAAGAAGTACAGCCAGAGTGCTCCTTAGAAGTGAGGATGGTAAGGCTTCATCTCACCTACTTTGGACATGTTATCAGGAGGGACCAGTCCTTGGAGAAGGACATCATGGTTGGTAAAGTAGAGGGTCAGCCAAAAAGAGGAAGACCTTCAATGAGATGGTTTGACACAGTGTCTGCAACAGTGGCCTCAAACATAGCAACGATTGTGAGGATGGCGCAGGACAAGGCACTGTTTGATTCTGTTGTACATAGGATTGCTGTGAGTCAGAACCAACTCCACAGCACCTGACACCAACAACTAGCTCACTCACATCATGGAATCGTGGCTCGTTATTGCCAGATTGGACCATGAGCTAATCCTTACAAGGGACTCTGAGACACACGCATCCCTACCCAAAGTCTCTCCAAAGTCCTCATAGCTTCTCTGTTTTCTGTGCCTTTACCAGGAAAAACTAGTAACCATCACATCTTGTGGGCATTTGGCTTGGCTCTCTTTGACCCTCATGGGTCAGAAGAAAACAGCTGTGCTGTCTGGGTAACAGTCACTTGGGTGGGTTCCCTGAAGAGGGACGTCTGCAGTGTACACCACAGGACTTTCTCTGCCCAGGGGACAGCATCAGATGAAAGACACATGACTCGTTAACTGGTTTTGCAGGGAGAAGATGTAATTTGGATGACAGATTCAGGTTCCAACGAAGTCCTGAGCAGGATGGGATTATGAACAGAAGATAAATTTAAATAATGGATCAGTTTAAAATCCGAAGAACTGTTACAGTCAGAAAATAGAGGCAGGGCTTAGAGAGCAAGCAGCACAAGTTACCACTGTGATGTAGGTCCCACCTCCCCCCACTCCCCCCACCCCAAACCAGACCAAAACAAAAAACAGGCAGATGATGGAAATAGCATGTCCAGAATAAAGACGTGGGTAGCCTGCTTCTCGGAGCTCCTTAGAGGTGACCAGCACCAACAGGGAAGAACTGCTAGCTCAGCAGAACTTCCTGCCAATCAGAACCACATATGGTAGAAAGGGTGCCCTCAAAGGTGTGAACTGAAAGAGCTCTTGGTGGGATCTTGAAATCAGGGATCTGACTGCACTAGCTCAGTGGTTCTCAGACTTTTTGGTCTCTAAACCCCTGTATACTTAAAAACTATTAAGGACCCCAAAGAGATTTTGTTTATGTGGATTATATCTATTGATATTTCTTGTATTAGAAATTAAAGTTGAAATTTAAAAAATGTTAATTCATTTAGAAGTAACAAACAATAAAAATAGTTTTTATGAAAATTTTTTTTTCTAAAACTATAAAAATTGTTGAGCAGAATGGCATTGTACATTTTTGTAAATCTCTAATATCTGGCTTAACAGAAAATAGCTGGATTGTCTTATCTACTTCTTGCATAGTCTTTTGTATACTATCCATCACATAAACCAAAAAAAAACCACCAAAACCCGTTGCTGTCAATTCCAGCTTAGCGACCCCATAGGACAGAGTAGAAATGCCCCGTAGTGTTTCCAAGGAGTGGCTGGTGGATTCAAACTACCGACCTTTTTTGGTTAGCAGCTGAGCTCTTAACCACTGTGCCGCCAGGGCTCCACAGCCTCTTGGAAACTCCATACACTCACGAGAAAATTAGAGTGAAAAAGACAAATAACTTTATCTTAATATTATGAAAATAGTTTTGACCTTGCGGACCTCCCTGAATGGGTCTTCGGAAACCCCAGGGGCTCCCAGACCACTGTTTGAGAACCACTGTACTAGGTATCTTCTAAACCTGGGCTCCTGTCATTTTTCCTCCTGTGGAACAGTGGTTTAAGGATTTGGCTACTAACCAAAAGGTCAGCAGTTCAAATCCACCTGCCGCTCCTTGGAAACCCTATGGGGCAGTTCTACTTTGTCCTGTAGGGTCGCTATGAATCAGAATTGACTCAAGAGCAATGGGTTTGATTTTGGGTTTAATCATGGAGGACACTTGAGTTTCAGGCCAGTGACAGAAGCTTTCATCCCCTCTCTGCCCGGTTCATGTTTCTCTTTCTAACCTCTTCGTCTTCTCTTCATGCCTTGCTCTTCCTAACCTGTCCTTTGCTGTGATGCTTATCTTCCCAAATTCTGTACCTGCCAGTACTATCACTGTAATGTTCAAGTAGAGGCCTGTCAGCGTTTTTGAGGAAGGGATCCTTTCTCAGTGAAGAAGTTGAAACCATTTGACCCAAAGGTCCCCTTCATCCTGAGCATGTAAGCCTGGTCTCTAGCATTATGTTCTTAAGCAAAGCCTTCCTCACCCCAGCAGTTTTGCCCTTGGTCCCCACTGCCATGTAAGCTCACCACAGCACTTACCACACAGAATCTCAATGGTGATATGTCTCCCACTAGGCTCTGAACAGCTTAAGGGCAGGGACTGTGCCTAGTCTGTTGTGGCCCCATCACAGGGCTCTCTGTCCCATCTCATTCCACTGTTCATGGGACCTGGAGTTCATTAGCATCTTGTTCAGAGCTTTCATTCTTACAGTTGGTCCTGGGAAATTCAGTTCTGTTAAGCTGCTTTTGCCAAAGGCTTCATAGTTAGTTAGTTGGCTCTTCTAATTTCCACTCGCGAGCAGGTAGGCCACACTGACCAGATTCTTTGGTAATTTTGATCTTGAAACTAACACAAATGTTTCCTTTCGTTTAGTTCTCCAAATGACAAGAAGTCTTTTTGCTCAGTTGAAGGGGAATGGAATGGTGTAATGTACGCAAAATATGCAACCGGGGTAAGAACCTGTGTTTGCCACTTTTGTCAGGCTGCAATGAATTGTAACCTGTCCTTTACTCTGGCCTCCTTCATCTGGAATTCTGTTTAACCACTAAGGCCAGCTCTGATGTCATCCCTTCAAAGCAAGGCTTTTTTTCCCCCACCTCTTCCTTAGCAGGTAGTGGAATGATTTTTTTTTTCTTCAACTTTCCTCTGCTCTCACAGCACTTTAATATGTCTAACACAGCACATAGTAAGAACCCCGTAAATTTCACCTGTGTTATTAGAATGTGTGGTATGTTTATAAAATTGAAGTGCTAAACTAATTTGTTTGTGTGTTTGTATATGCAGTTAGTTTACGATTTTAAATTTTTAAAAAATAGTCTGAAGATAGTCTTTGCCCTCAAGGAACTTGCAGTCTGTAGCAGCACCCAGTAAGTTAGTGCTCTAATTAAAGTGGGTAGAAGGTGGTATGAGAGTTAACAGGAGCAGCTAATGAACTGGATTTTGGAATTGGAGAATTTGAAATATAAGCAGCACTCCAGTGTATTTAACATTAGAATTAGTTGTTTATGGGCCTCGCTCCCTAAGAGATTGTATTTCCAGCACACAGCAGATAGCTAACTTGAAAATGTTTGTTGAATTGAGCTTCTACTAAGACTGAAGGCACACAACTATATTTTAGGCCGAAGACTGCGTATGAAACTCACTGTCTACACCATTAGCTATGTGGGCTTTGATTATTCCTGTTAAAGTCTTCTGGAAGATTTCACTTTCCTCCTAAAACAGTTTGAACAATGAAACATCCATCTGCCTCTTTTTTTTTATTTTCTAGGAAAATACAGTGTTTATAGATACCAAGAAGTTGCCTACAATCAAGAAGAAAGTGAGGAGGTTGGAAGATCAGAATGAGTATGAATCCCGCTGGTGAGGAGAACTATTGCCAGCTGTTTGCTGCAGTGCTTATGATGTTGCTTACATATGGGGGCAGGGTGGGGTCTGGAGGTGGTATAGCAGAGTACAGACTAAGTTTGAATGCCTGGGTCCGTATGTCCACTCTCCCACTTAACTAGCTCTGTAATAAGGGCTAAGTTATCTAGCCTCTCTGCCTTGCTTCCTGAAATGGGGACAATGAGAAGAACCTCACAGTTGTTACGAAGACTGAGATAGACATGTAGCATACATACTACGGTTGGCTTATAACAAGCACCTAGTGTGTGTTGCCTTCTCGTCGTCACTGTGGTTATTAGAGATGGTAGTGAGGTATGTGGTAAAATACCTTAGGTCATCTTAGTTTTTAAAAAATTTCACCCCTAAATATTCCCATATATGTCTCTAAAATGACTAAAAAAAATTATCATGCTTTTTTAAAAATTAGTAATTCCTCAAATATCTAATTGATGTTCAACTTTCCTGTTGTCTCAAATATATATATATTTTTTCCTTTGAGTTTGCTTGTTTGAATCTGGATCTGAATAGTGACCGGAGCTTTCAGTTCTTTTAAAGGAACCCTATAAAAGGGATCTATTAGTAGTATGAGGAATCATGTGCTAAAGTTCCTTGTTTAACATATTAGAGGATTTCTTATATGAAGGGGACCCTTACAGATTACCCTGCTGCTTGCCTCTAGTTAATTTGTTAATAGTCTACTTGGTTAGTCTGGCAGCTCAGTTATATAATTGGAAACCTATAGAAATTTATGCTGTGCTACTGATCACAAGTGGATATTACACATGGCCACTTTTCTAGACCTAAGAGTTCTCACTTGTAAAATGACTTGTTTGGCCCATACTCCTCTACCTGTCATCTTCAAGGCCTTGAGAGGAGGCCATGTCTTACTCCTTAAACCTCTAAAATTCAACTCGATGTGTATTTGCTCTGTTTAAGCTGTTTTTCTCCAAGATCTCACTGTTAAATCTAAGGGCATTTTCTAAAATTGAACTTCTCGGCTCCTCTCACCCTTCAGTTTATAGTAAAGGACACTCAAGTCTCTGTGAGGCGAACTGACTCCCCAGAGGTCTGTAGCAAGTTGGAGGTGGAGCCAGAAGTAGAATCCTAGGCCTCAGAGCTCCTACTGTTCTTTCTCCACTGTTGTCTTTACTATCCAACTTCCTACCCATCCCTTATTTCCTTCTTTGACAACTAGGAGTCCTCAGGCCTATTTGTCTGTCCTTTACTCCAGTGCCTTGGTGCAGCATTAGGAGCTTTAGTCTGTGTTACAGCACTGGCAGCCATGTGCCTCGTACTGTTACTGCTATTACGTTACACTCAGAGGTGGCTTAGGCTTTCATTCTCAAGGTTGCCAACTCCTCTGTTTGTCTAATTCTTAGCACCACCACTTCTTTTCTTTAGCCTTTGGAAGGATGTCACTTTCAACTTAAAAATCAGAGACATCGATGCAGCAACTGAAGCAAAGCACAGGCTTGAAGAAAGACAAAGAGCAGAAGCCCGAGAAAGGAAGGAGAAGGAAATTCAGTGGGAGACAAGGGTAAGCTTGCTTTGGGGAGCCTACCCCCACCTCCAAACTGCTGTCACCCTGGACCCTGAGCGAGATAACTCATTTATTTATTTGATAAATGAGTGTTTAATAAGAAATGTCTGTTAGTGCCAAACACTGTTTTAAATAAGCATAGTGATGACCAAGATGACCCCTGGTCCATGCCCGAAACTCATTTTAGTCTACTGGAGGGAGAAGACATAAAATAATAACAAGTATGATGTAGAAGAAAAAGTACAAAGCAAATGTGTAACAGAATCTTCCTCCTTTCTCTTACAGTTATTCCATGAAGATGGAGAATGTTGGGTTTACGATGAACCATTACTGAAACGTCTTGGTGCTGCCAAGCATTAGGTTGGGAAGTGTAAAGTTTACAGCTTATGACCGGGGCAGGAGGCATAATTAAGCAACAAACAATCTTCCTTTGGGAGAATCTGTTCACTCCCTTCTTATTGCAGTGGTTCCTATCTCAGGGATACTGGACTTTCTGATGCAGATGAACAATTAAAGCAAGAAAAGCTTCCCTTTTTCCTCTTCTGTGGCAGTTGCGATTTTGACTTCAGTCCTGAGAAAACTTCAGGCTTTGAAAACAAGATGTTTGATCCTTCACCAAACCCCACGCTTTGAAAAGCATTTATAAACCCCCGTCTCAGACTCTGCACTCTAGTACTGCTGTTGAGATATATGACATTTCCTAGTTCATATAATCTTGGGTTCTATATATATACATATATATACATATAAAATATACTTGATGCCAGATTTTGCATAAATACTCCCATCTACTGTAAATACTGATTCCTTTGTTTTAGAAAATTAGTGCAATGTATTAAAATCAAGTGCTTAGGAAATTTCATGGTCTCACCTACAATAACTTTTATTTTGGAATTGAACTGTTATTAAATTGTATCTAACCCTGGACCACAGTTTAATTATACTCAGTGCTTCTTAAGGCTTCATAAAGTAATTTTTCCAACCTTTTTTTTTTTTTTTTAATGTGTTTCTTTTATTATCTTTATGGTTAAACGTCAAACCAATTATTTTGCAACTTTGATTACAGGAGCTAGCTCTTCACAGGATATTCCTGAAATAGTGGAGGGTCTTTCCTTTTCCTCATCCCTTCCCTTTTAACAGTCTGTCTAACGGGCTCTGTGTTCTGTCTTAACCTCCATCCCCTCGCCCCGTGCTGTTCTCCAGAAAAAGTCTTCACTGAACTCATAGAGCACATGCAGGGCTGCCACCATTGTATCCAAAAATATCTTTCTTACTACCTTGGAGGGTTCCAGAAGAGTATATATTATTTTCAGATAGTGTCTCCCCACCTTACACTTCAACAAAATGTAATAAAAAGAATGCAGAAGCAGCAAATGGCTCATTCTGAAGGGAAATACAGATACAGAACTATCTTTATTTAAAAATACATTTAAAAAAACAAGTATTAACAGTACCTAGCATCTAGGTACTAATAACATATCAGTTACATAGGGCTTCTCAAGGCTGGCATACAGAATTGGATTCTTAATCTGAGAGGACACAGGCCAGGCCTTCCCGTGAACGCTGCTGCGGTTCTTTGGGCACACTTGGCCCACCTTGCTAATTTCTCTTTTCCAGCTACTGCGGTGACCCTGGGTTTGTTTGTTAGTCTCAACAGAAAAGAAAAGCAGTAAATCAAATTCTATGATGCCAGTGCGAAAATTCAGTGTAAGCCCTAAGGCAAGAGTAGTGTAACTTCAAAATACGGACACATTTTTAAATACACATTGCTTCAGGCCAACGAGACTGCAGTTTATTTGACTATTTTATGGTAGGGGAGAAGGTTAAGTCTTGATGTGAAAGCCCTGATGTCAGTAATGGGGATGGTAGAATCTGCCAGCAGAGGAGAGGTTGGGAAGGTGGTTAGCTGCATCACTTCACCATAAGAAGAGTTTGAATCTTCACAGGAAGGGGTGTTGTCATCGTCCAACTCATATTTCCCATATCCAACAACCTAAAAGGGTCCAAAGATTCAAGGTGAGAAATATGCTGACTGTATTTGAACAAAGACCTGTTTAAGCTCGCTGATAACCTTGGTAACCCCAAATCAGTGAATGATAAGCGGGCTAGGTGACGACACTGGAAAGGATGGAGCTGCGGTTCACTTAACCATACTCACGTGAACACTGAGCATTTTACTTCCTGGTCCTCTGTGAGCCTTGAACCAGCTGACCAGGTCTGCTTTTGAGAATGACTTCAGTGCTTCAATCTGACAAGGGGAGGGGAAGATAGGAAAAAAATAGAAGCTATAAAGACTACAAGTACCACATTTTCTGGAGAGGTATTTCTTCTTCAACATAACCCCAGACAGACCTCCTTGGTACAGCTCAGCACGTAAGTACTTCATTTATTCTTCTGAGTCTGAGCTTGCCCCCACCCTTCCAGAGGAAAAGGAAAGATGAGCCTGTGTGACACACCATCACGTTTCATAAAAACAATCCACCCTGGCAGATGAGCAAGAGAAGGCAGGTGCTGTAATTACAGCTGAGTACCACACACTGAGCCAGAAACCCAAGTCACCTTAGTGTCACCTCTCAGTTACATGGTAACTGTACACTCTGGCCTGAGAAAATATAGTAATTATTGAAACAGATGCAGAGACAGCTTTATCTGTCCTGTTTCTGATAAGAAAACTAGAGTACCTTAAGGTGAGCTGGGCTGCAGCCTCTTGTGAAATGATCCTCTCTCCTCACTGAGCAGTGGTCTCCCTTGGTAGTTGACCACACAGGGTATGTTCTCAGAGGGTTACAAGACCCAGACTTCTTTTGCAAGGGTTTTACTACTTTGGGCTAGAAGTTGTCAAATGGCCTGTGCCTGGAATCATTAAATCTGGAGGAACTTCGTGTTTATATATAAAGACCAGAAGTTTTCCATTTTCTTAAAAAAAGGGAGCCCTTTTGTACTCCACAAAATCTTGTGGTAAAACCTCAATATAACACATGAAATTGGAGCTGCTCTGGTTGAAATGGGGAGGAGGGGAGTAAGGTTTAGCACCCAGCTCACTAAGCTACCTAAGGTGCTAGAAAGGCCAGTCTGAAAACTCAAGATTTGATTAATCAAGTCAACAAATGGGCAAGTAAGTAATGAGGCCAGGTTGTCTGCCCCAGGTTTCTCTTCCACACAATACTGGTTTGTTTGGAACTGTGATTCTGTAGAATCAGGAGCCCTCCCCAGCCCCTACTGCAGTCTGTTAGAGTTGTCTGACTAGGAAAACTGTTACACTACCTCATGGGCAAGGCGGTCGAAGAGATACTGCTGTGTCACCACTTCGTTCCAGTTTCTGTCCACTTCCTCCCCAAGATGGGTATCCTCGCACTCCTTCAGCTTGATCAGAGCTGTGACCTGTTCTCACCGAAAAGAGAGATCTTCAGGCATGGCATCACACCATTTCCCCCAGAGCACACTTGACCCTGTCCAGTCTGGCTTGTGACAGACTCACAGTGGTCCCTTCGCTTGGGACTTGCCAACATCGTGGGAGGATGGCGTTTGGGAGACATTATCATCAGAATAAGGTGGGGCTACAAAGCTCCAAAACTGGCCAATACATAAGGCTTTTAAGAGCGGTGGCTGGTGGCCGAGGGTTGGTGTGGGCCAAGGGCCAGAAGACTAGATCTGTGTAGTCAGTCACCTGGGTGTTAAATGCCTCTTCTGTGAGGTTCTCAATCTTCTCCTCAAAGCTAGAAAGAAACTCTTCTATCTTCTTATCAACCACTTCAGAGCTGAAACAAAACACCTTCAATTAAAAGTCATCAGAGACCTACTCTGGGCAGAAGGCAAAGGAGGGAGTTAGGGCTAAGGCATATTTCCAGGAAACAGGTTGAAGTGTTTTCTTTGCAGGCCTCAGTACTCTGTCCCCAGGGAAGAGAATAGGGAATCCTTACCCTACCCCTGCCCAATTTCTTGGTATTCTCATACTGAAGCAATGACAGCCATGCTTGATCATTCCAAAGTTGGGAACCAACATGGCCTTACACCAACAAGGCCTATACCAGCATGAATGCCAGGTTCCTTGCCTTTCCTGTCCTCAGGTCTGCCTGAAGAGAAGAAACATTGGCAAGCCCTGCACAGTGACCACAGGACTTGAGTCAGGCCCTATAGGACCAGTGGAACCACCGATCAGTCCTGGATCAGCCCAACTATGAACCCCAAGCCTCAACCAGTGACTAAATGACGCAAACCCTATTTAAGGTTTGAGCCTGCAGCATAAGGGAGTACACATACTCCCAACTCTCCATGTGTTGGAGAATACCCCAGAATAACAAATTGGGCCCAACTACTCACTCACTTACTCACTTGTATTTGGTTGCCTGAGTCCCCACGGTGACAGAGAACCCTAGAATCCCAGATGTGTTTCTACAGGTAGGGTAGACATGGTACCTACAGGCAGAATGAAAAGTTCTATCAGTTCAGGGGGTCACCTGGGCCCTGCTTTCAAAGGCACTAGAAATGAGTGGGAAGAGTTTCTGCATGTCCTGCCTGGACTTGGAGGTCCTGAAAAAGGACCCACAGTTTGCCCCCAGACAAAAGCCTTGGAGCTATATGTGCATGTATTTCATTCTAAGATTAAGGTATCCACCCCTCTCCTGAACCAGAAACCACAGGGTAGCTTTTTCTCTTGCTAATCTTGAAACCTGACCAAACTGAAAACCTGGTCACAGGCCAAAATGCAAATTCCAGAGTTCTGACTAGTAGGTATGACTAAGGCATGGAAGGACCAAAGAACTGAGAGACTGCTCAGTCAGGATTCTGATCAGCTTCAGACTGCAAAGCAAACCCAAGACCATTATTTGAGCTCAGTGCCCTTACTAGCAGACTTACCCAAGGGTCTGCTTGGTTCGAAGGAAGTCAAAACAAGGCTCTTCCATGTGCATCTGTAATTCAACATACTATCCATCAGCCCAACTCCTCCCAGCAGAAAAACCTCCATTTCTTCCCCCTAAAGTACTCCACATACCTCTGAAGTCCAGCCTCCTTTACTGCCTTTTTCCTAGATGGCCCAGGTTCCCTGTCCACGCTTACACTGTTTAAGAATACTAAATGACCATCTCACTTAAACAGTGGACCCTCTCTCCTTCCAATCACAGGTGTCTGACTACCCCAAGTCCCTAATTCCCAGAAAGAAAGGCTAGGCCTCATACAGTTCAACTCTCCTTTACCCACTTACCACAAGCAGCTCCATAAGGGTGTATTCTCTCAGACTCCTGGGACCTGACTGAAAGGAGAAGTTGGTCAGATCACCTGAAAACCCAGTGGCTTATGAGGTTTTTTAATAATCCAGCTACCTCTGCCAACCACTCATTCCCCCACAAGAGTTAATCATACCCTCTATTGCCATAATTTCAACAATTGTGTGTCCATATCTGCCTCCTCACTAGTCTGAAGATCTGTGAGGACAGGGATCATGCTTGATCATTTGTATTCCCAGCACTAGCACAGAACTGCAGGTAGACATGGAGGTTAGTCCAATAATCCCTGATCTGCAAGCTCCTGCCCAGAGGACCCACAGCATGTGTTCTAAAATCAAGCACTTTAAAAAAGTTCAAGGTCCTAAAGGGGGAGAACAGGAAATATCTGAAGATCATGAAGGGTATCTGGATTCATCCCTCAGGTAGAGAGAATATGAATAGAATTTCTGCAGCCACACACAAGGACCCAAACCAAGTGATAACGAAAGTGCCTAAGAGACAGAAAACACACTTGCGGACCATATCCTCCTGGCTGCTCTGGCAAAATAATGAAGTCAGAATTAAGGAGGGCAGGAAGTCAATAAGCAAAGATGTTGCTAGTGCATCCCGGCATCAGGTTCTTGCAGGCTCCTCTGACAGACTCATTCCCACTTCACCAGAGCCCACGTGCCCTGCAAGCCCTAATTAGTCAGCACAGAGATTTCCTCTTTGCCTCTAAAAGGGCTGTAACAAAATCAGTCAAAACCCTGTAACAATAACAGTTTACTGTTCAAAACGCTCTCTGTGAGGAGGGAAGTAGTTCCCTAAAGGAAACAGTTTGTATTAGACGCTACTGCTAAGAGGTTATCAATGGAAAGCACCTCCACAGACATTTTCTCGCAATATGAAGCCCTGCCTAAAAGTCTGGAGAAGTACCCCTGCTTGGATTTTGAGTAGTCAGAGGCACTAGAAATGTGGACAAAGTCACGCAGGGCCAAAGCTGGGCCTCCAGGCAAAGACAAAAATCTTATCAACTGAGCTCCAGAATCGCTGTGACTCTTGAATCAAAGGACTCATTAAGACTGGGACAAGGCTGAGCTTCACTAACAAGAAGTGGCCACGACATCAGGCAGAATTTGCTTCTGACAACCAGACCTAGACAAAGTCAGGGTAAGACTCAGGCCCAGGGTCAGAAACACAATAAAGGAACAATGAAGGAGACAGGCCATGCAGCTCTGCCCAAAGCCCAGGCCAGGGATCTTCACAGGGCCTGACAGGAAAGTGACTTCCTTATACAGGGAACCCAGGACTGTAGCAGCAGTTATAGGAGCCCCTGAGTTTGAGAAGTCTGAGATCAAGCTGGAGAGACACAGGTTTAGGGAAGATCCCCATATTTCTAGAAGTGGGTGGGACTAACTATGCCTAAAGCAGGGTACGGGCCAAACTGCAAAACTCTTTATCTTACATCCCACCCCACCCTTTCAGAATGGTGTGGAAAGAACACAGGATCTAAGGACAGAAGGAATAAATTTGAGTCCCTCGTGGTATGATCTCAGGTAAGTAAGGAACTGAACCTCAGATTCATCATCTATAAAACAGAAGTGATGAATCCTATCTTCTGGGTGCTTTGAAACCTTTAATTATGACAGCTCATTTGTTGTCATTCTGTTTGCTATACAGTGAGGGCTTGGCTATGGATACTTTTGTCTCTTCTTAAAAAATGTCCTCCTGCTGTTTGGGGTTTTGTCAGGAGTGATACCTAAGAATTTCCATCCACACTTCAGTCTCTGTTCCTCTGACTAGTGGTCAGGTGATTAATGAAGCAATAGCTCACTGTGAATAAAAAAGAATCTATTTCACTGACAGAAGCAATCTTTAAATGTGGCTGCTTCAGGAGGACAAATAACCCCAAGCATAAAACTACAGAGGTAACTGTAAAAGGGTCTTGACGGCTGACCTGGTAGTACACAGTGACTTCAGAGTTGGCATCACCCTTGTTCAGGGCTCTCACTTTGCATAGGTGGTGGCCACTGGGCAGCTCTACCACCTGGAACTGCACAGGCATCTCCTGTTCCAGAGGGATGAAGTTCAGCTTGCTGCAAGAGAATCAGGGTGGGTCCCTGAGGCAGTGCCTTTCTCTTCTAACCCCCACCCAAAAGCTGTTGAAAAGAGCCAAGATTTCCACAGTTCCTTCTGAATTGTTCTGTTTATACTATCCTCAAGAAAATCTACCACAAGAAGTATCTCAACTGTGGGTTTAATAACAATTTACTGAGTTGTGGCTCAATGCCATCTTCCTGGTAAGAACACATAACTCCTAGAGAGAAAATTCAAATCAACACTCACTCAACAACGTATTTCAGGAAATCCATAGACTCCTAGGAGGGAAAGGAAAACTAGATTAGGCTCCCTTGACGTAAAATTTCACCTGGAACCAATTAATATTAATATTCTAATGGCTGGGGAGCCCTGCATAGCATTAAAATACCAGGCAAGTCATTCACTGATTGGGCAAGTCATTCACTGGCTCGGTACTGATTATGTTTGTTGAATATTAAGTGGCTCTTAAACTGAACAGCTCCCTTTCTGTGCTCTGTTTACTCATACACTGCAGCACTTTCCCCACTGGATCAAGCTTAATTGTTTAGTGTCAGTTTACCCATTAGACTATATCCTCTATGACAACTGTGATTGTGTCTTAGAAACCTGGGCCCATTAGCGCAGAGCCTAGCATAGAATAAGCAATAGAATAACATTTATTTATACTAAGTGAATACTTCCTCCTTCCCTCTCCAGATACCTGTTTTCTTATGTATAAAATGAAGGAGAAGTGGAGGGGTGAGCTCATCTCTAAAGTGGTTTCTACCTGGGACAACTGATGGTACTAAGTCTCCTGGATCAAAAGTATCAGCCTGGAACTCCTACTGCACTCAGAGAAGCATGTAGCTGTTCTTACTCTTCTCTCTGTGAGTTGGTTTTGGGGGTGGGGAGTCAGGATGGAGAAAAAGTGGGGAGGATAGCAGCCACAGTCTCAAGTGATCATTTATCTGTTCTATCAAAGGGCCGGTACTGAGAAACTGGGAGACTATGAAGGAAAATGGTCAGCTGCAAAACAGTTTAGTGAGAGTACCAAGCAAGCACTTTTGGCTGGAAGAGACCTCAGTTAGTTACAAGGCCCCACAGACATATCCAACTCAAAATATGTCAGAACAAACTCCTCATGTGGCCCAAACCTATTCCTATTCATTCACTACCCCTAGCCAGAAATCTGGGCATCATCCTAGACTCCTCCCTTCTTCCTTACCCCCATTATCTAATTGGTCAATGAGTTTCAACCATCTCTACCTCATTATTTCTTCTGTTTCATTTACTTTTGCCTAACCTCAGGCTAACTTCATTTTTTTACTTCAACTATTATAAGAGCCTCATAATTGGTCTCTGCATCTTTCTTGACCACAAATCTTCTTTTAAATTCATTTGCTACAGGAAAAGTCAAAGCTCAGCTTGACACACAAGTTTGACATATAAGCTTGACATACAAGTTCTCCCTACATATGTATGTACATATGTATGTTTCTCTCACCACTCCCCTCCTCCCACTTTAATCTCTTTGTTGTTGTTGTTAGTTGTTGTCACGTCGATTCCGACTCATGGCGACCCATGCGTGCAGAACAGACCTGCTCCATAAGGTTTTCAAGGCTGTGATCTTTTGCAAGCAGATCACCAAGCCTGTGGGTTCAAACTGCCAACCTTTCAGCTAGTTGTTAATCTCCAGACATTAGTCAATTGTTTGTGGTTTCCATACACAATCTTCAACAACTGTAACCAACAGCATATATTTGCCCCATTTCACTCAGAGTCCTGGTTCATTACTGGCACTCTTCTTTTGTATGAACAAACTCTTGCCAGCAACAGAGGGGCCAGGTTGCCTCCTAAATGAACTATGACAATGTTGGCCTGCCATAACTACACAAGTTCCCCTTTGGAAGAACTAATGCAATTCCAGAACCTACAACTGCCTTCAGACCTGGCGTACAGCAACAGAACACCTCACACTCACTGTGCTTGTGACATTCCCTTGTACCAGGCCCTCAACAAAGAACTGGGATTTGAACTCTTTGACGAAGCTCAGCAAAGACTCAAGGGAAAGGCCATCCATCAAAGCCCGGTACTTGTCAATCATAGACCAACGAGCATATTCCAGGATTAAAAGCCGCACATCTCTGTACAGAGGGCAGAAAAAAAACAAAGTTTGTCGTAAGAAATGAATTTTGAGAGTAAAGAAATATTTGGTCAATTTTCTATAGATGATCCGTTTCAGAACAGAGACAATTTCCACCACAACTTAAGCTGGGGAAACAATGTCACAATTACCAAAAAGCATTTAAAATTGTAAACATAAACTCTTTACACTGATTTTCTCACTGGTACAAGTACTCACTTATCTCAGTTGCAAAACAAAATGTTAAACATAAAGTTGCCAGATGAGTCAAGTTTACCAGTCATACACCAATTTAAAATTATTACTATTTTGGTTTGAAATCTCACCAACATGTTATTAATCACTGGGGGTGACTATTTTGGGATCAATTACTGCAGGGACAATATAGTATATAAGTAATGGCTCTAGTCTAGAATCAGATTCCTCCCTTCTACTACCCCCCTCTCACACTAAGCTGTTTGAACTTGGCAAGTTACCGGGCATCTGTGCTTCGATTTCTTCACTTGTAAAACAAGAGCAATAATAATACCTGCCATTCACAGGGCTTTTATGAGAATTAAAGGAGTAAATATATATAAAGCTCTTTAGAACAGATGTACCACATAGTAAATCTTCAATGATAGAAGGTGTTATTATTACTCTATCACACTTTAACAGTACTTCAGCAGTTACTGAGATACACAGCTCTATTCATCTCCATATCAATGGTTCCAGACAACTCTCCTTTCCAATTTATATGTTTGTTTTTCTTACTTTTTGTGATCAGATTATCAGTTATTATATGCCTGATTTTAATAGCTTCTTCCACTGCTTTCTAATTCTGGTAATTAATTGGTTCATTATAACTGTGTCAAAAGCAGGGCATCTCTATTAAGTTGTGCTGTTAGTCCACCATTTATGTATGTCCAGCAAGGAGGTCAAGTAGGGGCTTGTAGCCATATGCAAAAAGGGCTGTGTCTGCTCTAGAGGGCTTTCTTTCCTTCCAAAAAGGATCCACCTGCCTTTCTGATTCGTACAAAGGGGCCCTATAGGCTACCTTCAGCCTGGACTAAAGAAAGAACAGGTTCTGATGGAAGGCCTAAGGGGTGTGCCTATTAGCAAAGGGTGTGAGTGTTAGCACCAGACTGTTCAGAAGTCTTTCTGATCTTTCCTGAGGCCTTAGCTGAATTCTGGATAGTTGAGGTTGCCAGATTAAACGAATGTTAACCAATTTAACTCATGTACTCATCACAGCACTCACTACACTAAAATCACCATTAGGCAATTTTAGGCTACAAGAAAGCCAGCACTTTTTTAACTGTTATTTATTTACAGATTTTGGAAAAAACAGCCTTCTTTACCTTTAGCTTCTGACTGATTTCAGAAGGATGCTTTCAGTTGTATTCACAGATAAATTAATTAAGCTGGATTTAGAAATCCTATAAGCCCATGGACTGGATTCCCAAACTACAACACAATTCTAACACGTCTGAAAACTAGCACTGAAACTACAGCCCCATCCCCTATACTTATCCCCTAGGAAGGCAAATACTTTCAGGCCCTCAAAATACAAGCTGATCCCACATATACCCACTTGGCCAGAGTCTCAGGCTTGATGAGGATGTTAAAGTAAGTCTTCTTCAACTGCTCAGTTATCATTGTAAAGACAGCTGGTGTGGAACTGAAGTCAGCTAAGTAGTCAATAATGAGCTGAAACAGTAGCTAAAAGAAAAAGAAAGAAGCATTTTAAGTGGAGAAACATGGAAATCCACTAAGTTTTAGGGGGAAAATATTTCCCTTTGATTTTTACCAGGGGATTAGCATGGTGCTAAGTATCATGAGGGACATAAATACTAATGACTCAAAGAATCTTCAAGGGCCAAAATCCTTAATAATTGTCAAATTACTGTTTTTCCCTTTTTAAGTAATTTTTATGAGTACTCTCAAACATTTTTTCTTCCATATGAAGTTAAAAATGTTATCCAGCATCCTCCCCACCCCAAAATGTGGTTTTAATTGGAATGAGATTATATTTATATATCAATTTTGGAAGCACGGACAATTTTATGATATCAGGTTGTCCCATCCAGAAACATAAGTCTTTCCCTTATTTTAAGTCTTTTTAAACAAGCTTCAAAAAGATTTGCAGTTTTCTTTAGATAGATCCTATACTTTCCTTATTTATTCTTAAGTATTCTATTGTTGTGCTCAATACAGAAGAAAAAAAAAACCGTTGGTGCTGAGTTGATTCCGACTCATAGCAACTCTACAGGACAGAGCAGAAGTGCCCCCTCTAAGGTTTCAAAGGCCGTAATCTTTACAGAAGCAGACTGCCACATCTTTCTCCTGCGGAGTGGCTGCTGAGTTTTTTTTTAATTGTTGTGCTTTAAGTGAAAGTTTACAACTCAAGTTAGTCTCTTGTACAAAAATTTATACATACATTGTTTTGTGACCCCAGTTGCTCTCCCTATACGGTGACAGCACCTTCCTCCTTTCCGCCCTGGATTTCCCGTGTCCAGCTCCTGACCCTCTCTCTGCCTTCTCATCTCGCCTCTGGACAGGAGCTGCCCATTTAGTCTCATGTATCTACTTGAGCTAAGAAGCACACTCTTCACAAGTATCATTTTATGTTTCATAGTCTCAAACAAACCACCAAGTCTGGTGTGGCTGGTGAGTTTGAACCATCGACCTTTCGGTTAGCAGCCAAGTGCTTAACCACTACACCACCAGGGCTCTTTACTGAGAAAAAGCCATTGATTTTGATAATTGATTCTCATACACTGATCTGTGACCAGCCACATCACACCAATTTATTTTTTTAATTGTAGTAGTATCTTAGGGTAAGAATATAATCATATGATCTGCAATGAAAAAAATACTGTCTCTTCAAAAACAAATTTTTTAACAAGTATTTCATTTTTTTTTCATTTTATTGTACTAGCCTGAAACTCTAAAACAATGTCGAATTAATTAGGTGACTGTGAGTATCCTTGGCTTGTTCCTGACTTTACTGTTCAGCATTTCATCATTTAGTGCAATATTTACAGTTGTTTTTTAATTAAAGTTTTTACTATATTTAAGTAATTTCCTTCTATTCCTACCTTATTAGGAATGGCCACTCAAATTTACCAAATGAATTTTTCACATTTATCAGTATATGCACATAGTATTTCTCCTTTTGATTTGTTTTATAATGAGTTATGTTCATCAGCTTCCTAATACTGATTCACCCTTGCATTCCTGGTGCTTGGTCATGGCGGATTATTCTTTTGCTATATTGTTGGATTTAATTTCTTTTAGAATGTGTGTATCTATATTCTGTGGGTGAAACTGGTCTTCAGTTTTCTATCTATATCAGGTTTTAATATTAAGGCTAGGTAAGCTTCATAAAATGAAGAATATCCATTATTTTTTAATGGTTTGTATTTTTAAAAAACTCTCAGGGTAATTTCAAAATATACCTTCTAAATGACAACCACTGTATACTAAGCTGTAATCTGTTTGGATCTTAAACTACATTATATTTAAGCCTTTGATGGTTGACAAAAGTAAAATATTCGATGGTGCCTCCTCCTACGACCAATCTTTGTTTCCTGGAGAGATTGAGAGGAGTGGATGTATAAAGGTGAGAGCTATCTCTTCTCTAGGGTTTTTGCTAAGATTTGAAGGCTATTGCTGCCTAGCACAAATCTAACTGCAAGATCCTTTCATCTAGATCTTTCTTGTATGAACCCAGTTCCCCAAACATTAATACAGTAACTATTCCTACCCAAGCAACATACATATAAAATTTGTTGTTGAGTACATTACATTATTTTACCTGGTATTTAATGATCTAACCCTCTTAGCTATTATCCCATACTATTCCTTCCTAAACTTATGCAGTTTCTGACAAAGCATCCTTGGAGTATACTGCTTGCCAAGAGATAAATTATCTCTGTTTTTAAAAGGCTCATAAACTTGGAAGGAAAACAAAACGCATAGACTTGAAACAACGGGAAAAAATGCAAGAAGAAAACGAAGAAACAAGCATTTGAGTTTTCAATGAACATTAACGTCACATAAACACTAATGTGCCAGGTGCTTTAAATTTGTTATTGCTGTATCGTATCAAATTAAGCTCAAACCGGTCCTAAGTGCCAATGTTGGCTGCGGAGAAACTGACAGCAAAGGGAAGTGAAAGCAAGTCCGAAGCAGGGGCTGTGTTTGTATGCACTGCCAATACTTAATGTATGGCCAGTCAAGGTGACAACAGCTGTCAACAGCCAAGCAAACTCATGATAATCCACATTAATAAACATTTCTTTCTATGTACAACACCCCATGCACAAGCCACTATGCCTGGTAGTACTATAGGGGCAACGAACAAATATATTTTACAACTCTGTATGAGGAAAACAGAGCACTTGTACTTACAGGTAGTTTGTGGTTGAATCCTTTCACTCGAATAATTAAACCATGTTCTCCAGCTACTAGTTTATACTCCAGCTGTGCCACATCTGCTTCATAAGCTGGTTCCGCAAGGTTATGGGTAAGGATGTTGACAAAGATATCAAAGAGGACCACACTGAGAAGTATTAAATGCAAACAGCAGCATCATTAGTTGGTAAGAAATAGACAAAGATGCCTACTTTCAATTTAAAGTAAGAAACTTCACTTTTGGAAAGGTGTTACATTTACTACTCCAGAATGTAAAACTGTATACTAAAAATTCAAAGGTAAATACGGCTTCCTCAGGACTCAGATTTAGAACTCCTACCTTCTGCAGTGCTTCCCAATCCTTTTCATGTCATGCTTACACAGAAAATCATAATATCTGTACTGCACAACAAGGTAAATGAAAAAGCCACTACAGCTAACTGGCCTTCAGGCTCTGGCTACCCCAGGCCGAGGCTTTCTGACTAACCAACTAAAAATCTGAGGGAAGAGAGGAGGGTAATGCATTCTTTAAAGTGGATATTAATAAATGTTGATGCTGCTTATCATTTTAAGATTGGATTTTACAGTTTAAGTGGCAAAGGAAAGAAAGAAGTAAAATAGTTCCTGAGCCCCTCCTATGTGTCAGACACTGTTTTAGGCTCTCAGAACTCCCATAATATAGCTGTCTACATAAATAAGAAAGTAATCTGTTAACACCAAGGTAAAATCAGATTCCTTGGCAGTCTTTAAATACAAGATCAAGATACCCATCAATCCTCATTATGGACTGGGAGCTATCCCCAAACTGATCTCTAAGAAACTTTCTCAATCCAGTAATTCTATGCCTAGTCTACATTATCAGCATGTTTTACGTCTGGGTGCTGGAGATGCAGCGGCCACCGTTCCATTTTAATGTTTAGTATTCTATACAAATAACTTGTTTTGGGCACAGAGAAAAATAAATCAGTCAGTAACAAGTACTCAAGTACTTAGAAAAAGACAGGATGATTCAGAATGAAACAAAACAAAATTTAGTTTTTTAATAATAAAAATTATTTTCCAGAAAAGAGGGCAATTCCTTACTTTGCTGCAGACTTCTGTATCAAAGGTGAGATCAGATGAAAACGTATATATGCTGAAAGAAAAAAGAACACAGATAAGAAAACACAGAATGCCAGAAAGTTATAGCAGAGCCTTTCCAAGGAAGCTGAATAAATATTAAGACCATTTTCAGAAACTTTCATAAGCTATTCAAGAAAGACTGTGGAAATACTTTCCCAATAAACTCAAGAATCCCACAGAACTACAATACAGTTGTGTTTGAGGTTAGGGATATGGATTAAACGGCATTCAAAAACAGTGTATGATTCCAACTTGTTTAAGTTTTCAGGCCATGCAAAAGAACAGAAAAACAAAAAAGCAATACAGTTTGGGCCATCATGTTACAAGAGAAGACAAGGACTTTTAGGGTCTGTTTCGCTGTCTACTGTACTTCCTTTATGCTGAAAAGCAAAAAGGTAGAGGGAGACAGATGGGGGAGATTTCACATCTGTAGTGCTGGACTAGACTGTCATGACTAAGGATAACTTCCTTCAGGATGCTTTTATTCCATCTGTTTTTAAAAATAGTGTTCAAAAAATACCACCAATGCCTTAAGGTGGCCTAATACTTGGCTCTGCTTTCATCTAACTGAAAGAAAAATAAGTGAAAACAATTTCATTCTAGGCTTGAATCTTTATTCATCTTCTGGAATCTGGAGTGTCTACAAGAACTTCAGTGACAGTAAAGGAACAATATGGATCTGACAGATAAGCTTAGAAAAGGTCTTCAAATGGAAAGGGAAGGGTTAATAGACATGCGTCGGGGCAGCGGAAGATGTTACAAAACACAAAAGATTTGTTATACTTATTTCACTCCTTTAAGGGAAGGAAACATTTTTACCTTTGGGGATTTTGAATTTATTGTCTTTCTTATACCACAGGCAACCTTGTGGAGTGTTCACAATTTTAACAGGGTATTCCGTCTCAGGGCAATCAAAAGCCTTCAACGTGAAGTCCGTGGCTAACAAAAGAAAAGAGAGTAATAATTCACTCAGGTATTTCAATAGGATTCCCAGCAATCTGTTCTTAGTTTGAGAAGTCCAAGTTAGACGTCTAAGTTTCTTTATGGCAAAAATAAGCCAAATTCAAATACTGGAGCACAATAAATTAACAGAATACTACAAAGAAAACTCTCAGACTTAAACTAAATGAACTCTTAAAGATCCATAATTTCCCAACAGTTGATTCTCATCTCTACACATTCTGCTTCACTCTCTTTCTCAAAGACAATATTAACAGTGAGAGGGACCTTCTTTGGTCAGGATAGTTAGATAAACCAATTTATAAAAGAACCCATTGTTAGTGAGAATGTCTTTTGCCAACCTTATGGACATCTGAAAAGTTACAAAAGACTGTCTCAAAGTCAAACCTGTCCCTTCAGTTAATGAAAACAAGGTGTTTCACATCAACATGTAGATAAGAAAAAGTTAATGTAGGGAAAATTAAAAGGAAAGTGTTGCTATATTTATTAAAAAAAAAAAAAAAAGAACTAGGTCGCTAAGGTATTTAAAGTCCAACATGTAGAACTGAATTATCTAAAAATAATATGTAAGACTTTTTAAAAAATTTCTGGTTATATACAACCTTTGTTCTAAATCAGTGACTGTCCCCCCACCCCTTTTTTTTAACTATAGCCCACAGTTAGAAATGTTTTACATCACAAGCTAGTAGACAGAGATACATACACCTATCTGAAACAAAAGTTCTTAAAATAATAACACCCTTTCTATACACAAAGAAACATTTTGCTATTTTCCATTCTAAATGATTTTTTAAAATGCTTTCACAACCCATTACATTAATTTCACAACCCTCTAATGGGTTGCAACCTGCAGTTTGAGAAACACTAGAACAATCTGAGAAGATAATGGCAATTCCTAAGGAGACTTATGTGAAAGGATCAGCTATGACATGTCAGAACAAATACATAAGCTTCAGAGAATCCCAAGAACTGAGTTTAAGTTCTAGTTCCTCAATCCACCAACTGAATAGTCTTGGACAAGTCACTTTGTTTTTCCGAGCCTCAGTTTTCTCATTTGGAAAAATAAGAAAATAATAACCTACCCCAGAGTGTTACTGGCAAGTATGAATTCATGATACTTTATAAAACCTAATATACTATACCGATGCTATTTATTTTATTTATTAGTACCCAGATGGATTATGTAAAATGATTGCTATTTCACTGACCTATGTACTTGTTTTCAGCTGGAAGATGAAGATCTGGATTTAATTCGAAATTACTATTCCATAGTTCAGCCCAAGAATTTTCAATATCTGTACAGAAGAAAAAACAAAAAAACTGACCCAGTAAACAATGCAATGTTCAGAATCCTCTTAATAACAAACCAACCACCAAATGGCCTTCACAAACCAATTCTTTCTAAGAAAAACTGTGAGTGACATATCCAGTCATTCTAGAATCTCGCTACTCATAGTGTGATCCCAGCAGCATTCGTATCACCTGGGAGCTTGTTAGAATTGCAGAATCTCAGGCCTCACCCCAGACCTACTGAATCAGAATCCATTTTAATAAGATCTCCAGATAATACATATGCACACTGACGTGTGAGAGGCATTTTTCTAAAACACAATAAAAAAACTCTGCCCCAAAAATACCAAAACAAAAAGGACCTTTTCGCTACCTAACAGATGTAGATATAAACACAGCAAAAAATAGATTCCTGCAAAGTAATATTAAGCAATTTTCATGTCGAAGTACACTTTTAAAAATTATACTCTTTTTTTGAGATGTAAAAATTGAGAAGTAAAAATTCCCAGGTGAGTCAGATATACCTAAATGCAAGAAAATTATTAAAATATTTTACCTTGCATATTATACTGAGTCCCAAACCACTTCTCCTTGAGTTCGCATTTTCCCTCATTAGCACCAGAAAGAAGAACGAGATTTGCTTTTTGCGGAACTAGCTGATTAAGGGCTTCCCCAATGACCTAATAAAAGGGATGGAGGACACACACACACACACACACACACACACACAAATAACAATTTTAACCTAACACAGTTCCGTTAAAAAGGCAAAGCCACATTGTTAAGCGCCCCCAAGATCCTAGCATCTTGAGCTCATGAAACTATCTACAGTCCATGAACATTCTAAATACAAAGCTTCGTAAGTATATCAGTTGTTTCAAATATAATAATGCTATATACAGTGTTCATCTCAAATCCTACATACTAACATTACTAGCAGTAAAAATAGCTATTATATACTGAGCCTTTACTATGTGCCAGGAAGTATTTAACATACATTATTTCTTTTAAAATTGTAAAAACAACCCTAAGGTATACTTATTTTATAGAAAATAACACTTGGCCTCAGAGGTAAATGGTTAAGTAATTTGCCCAGGTTAAAGATTAAGTAATTTGCACAGAACACAGCTACAAGCAGCGAAAGTGTAGTTCTAACCAACTTTGTATATATTTCCAAAGACTATGTTCTTAACCACTATATATTATACACTACATTTACTAATTCTTCGGTATGTACCTCATACCCAAGGATTGGTAAAATGATCTCAATGTACAGCCTCCTTCAATAATCCCTCAGCTATGATACGGACTAAACAAAGGATTTTGTGGGTTAGATTTGGAACCCTAACTACCATTTAGCACCATTTCTTCTAGAAAAAAAAGTAATAAATGGTGGTTTGGAAAAAAATATTTGGGCCCCTGGGCACAACCATAAAGGAATGGCAAAAATGTGTGGTTGTTGCTTTTCCTTTACTTTTCCCTATTCTCTTCAAAATAAGTAGCTTCGGAATACCTTATAACAACCACAGCACTATTAACACCTTGGGCTGAATAATTCTTTGTTGTGGTGAACTGTCTTTTGCATTGTAAGATGTTTAGCTTCTACTCACTAGGTTGCCAACAGTACCCCCTGAGTTATGACAACCAGAAATGCCTCCAGACATTGACAAACAGTCCCCTGAGGGCAAAACTGCCTTTGGCTGAGAACCACTGCCCTACATGAAGCAAAATGACTTACTCCCCAGGTGTAGTGGAGTGAAGACCCTAACCAACTATTTATTTGTATGTAACAGTAGCTATAAATCATGTTTCTAACTCAGGAAGTTTTATTTATTTATTTATTTTTGGGTAAATATTTTCAAAATTTAATTGTCCTAAATGTCCACTTGAACTAAAAGGCAAGCTAAACACACGTTGAGTATGGTCGACAACTAAACCACATAATTCTTAGGAATTACTTTAACTATTTTAGATGTTTCAACACTTTAAAAACAGTAAGAGTGATACCTAAAAAGAAAACTTGATTTTCCCCTCACATTAAAATATAATAGTACAAGAATCATGAAAAATTATCCATAAAACTACTGATGTTTCTTCTGCTTAAGCAAACAAACAAAATAAGCTGGTTAAATATAACCAAGTTTTCTTCATTCCACAGTTCGTAAGTACATCCCTGCAGTTTCTCACCCTCTTCATCCCCTAAAAGTGAAATGGAAACCTCCTTACTTCTGGATTGTATTCAAAAAGAAGTTGATCTCCAGTAAGAAAGTCCTGCAGTGGGTACAGCTGCATGTTTTCACACATGTTTTCCACATACTCAACTGGATCCGTCTGTAAAGAGGTAAATTTATTTCATACCAGAATCTTCTCCATAATTATCCTTAATTCACCATAACATAAAAACAATATTTTAAACAAACAATAAAACCAAAAGCTTCCGAATATATAACCAGATACCTCAATAGTTGGGGCTTAAGAATCTGATGCTCAGAATTCCAAGAAAATAAAACGTGAGCTATCTTAAGAAGCTTAACCTCACACCCGCTCTAACCCACATCCTGAGCCCTACAACACCCTAGGTTCTAGTGATGTCATAGCCTCTTCATGAAAGCAATTACCACAATGAACTGTAAATGCTTGTTTACATGTCAAGAGCCCCTACATGATTGTGAACTACCTAAAGACAGGTCTTCATCATTTTATCACTACAGTGCTATCACCTAAATTTTATTTGTAAGCATGAATCAAATCAATGTAGAAATAAAAATTTGTCTTTAGATAAAAGTATTACGATAAAGTTATAATTATTAGCATATCATCTCTATTTCAAATTAAGTGACTCCAAGTTCTCTGACTTGAAATGGAATTACTTTTCCAGAGGAAAGCAATTAATTCAAGTATTTACTGGGCACCCAGACACACAGAATTTTAAAAATGACAGGTCTTTCAGACACCAAATGGTTCCATCCCCATGATTTTCACAAGTGAGGCTACATACTCAGAATGAAGTGACTTGCCCAAGGTTATAAACTGAGTAAGTGACAGGCAGAGCAGACACTAGAATTCTGGTCTCCTAACAAATCAGCTGGAGCCCTGGTGGTGTAGTTGGTGAGAGCTCAGCTGCTAACCAAAAGGCTGGCAATTCAAATCCACCAGCTGCTCCTTGGAAACCCTGTGGGGCAATTCTACCCTGTCCTACAGGGTAACTATGAGTCAGAACTGACTCGACGGCACCTAACAACAACAACACAACAAATCAGCAAATGCTCTTTCCATACCACCACACTGCCCAAAAGCTAAACTTAATTTAGCTTTTCCTTTAATTATGAATGTAGGCAATAAACCACAGTAGTATTAGTAGTATCTGTGACTTTATTAAGAAGCCCTAGTGGCGCAGTGGCAAAAGTGATCGGCTGCTAACTGGTCCTTTACTAGACAATATGGATTGTTCTCATTTAATGGAAGACAGAAAAAAAAGTGAAGTTACTGCATTTGTGAAGAGAAGATGAGATGCAAATATCAAACTACAGACCACAGGTAGATGTTATCTACTACGTTCACGTAAGAATAGAGTAAGGAAAAAAGTAAGGAAAGAGTCACTGTTAGCTTTTCTTTCCCCTCTTGCCCTATTTCAACAAACAGTCCTGAATTAACAAGCTAACTGGTCATTAAAGTGCTATTGTTGTTTAAAATGACTTCTCCTACTGTGTTCTAATTTCTTTAATCAGTTATTTTCACTAGCCACTTATTTATAAGTTAACTGCTCTAATCAGTATGCTATAAAACTGAGTAATTCAAAGTATCTCCTGTGAGAAAAGTTCTCAAGACCCTGGCTAAAAACAGATCTTTGGTGCCAAGGCAATGGAGAAAGTATTATAATACTTTAATTTGAGATACAACTCACATATACTAAAATTGACCCTTTCAGATGTACAATTCGGTGGATTTTACTAAATTTAAAGTTGTGCAACCATTACTACTAATTTCAGAACATTTTCATCACCCCAAAAAGAAATCCTATACCCGTAAGCACTCACTCCCCATCTCCCCTTCACTCACCCCCGGGCTACCACTAATCTATTTTTAGTCTCTATAGATTTGCCTATTCTGGACGTTTCATATACTAAATAGAATCATACAATATGTGTTCTTTGTATTTGGCTTCTTTCACTTAGCATAATATTGTCAAGGTTTGTCCACACTGTAGCATAAATCAGTATTTCATTCCTTTTTAGGGCTGAATAATACTCCACTGTATGGATATACCATATTTTATTTATGCATTCATCAGCTGATGACATCTTGGTTGTTTCCACTTTTTGCCTATTATGAATAATGCTGCTATGAACATTCACGCACAAGTTTTTGTATGGACATATGTTTTTCAATTCTCTTGGGTATATATATATATAGAAGTCAAAGTGCTGGGTCATAGGGTAACTCTATGTTTAACTTTTTGAGGAACTGCCAAACTGTTTTCCAAAGCAGCTGTACCACTCTACATTCCCACCAGCAATGTCTGAGGGTTCCAATTTCTCCACCACCTTTCTAACACTTGTTATTGTCTATTTTTTAATGTTTTGGTCCATTACAAACTCTCACTGCCTTCCATTACTAATTGCCACATTATATTCCTGGTTTTCTGCCTAGTGAAAAGTACTTAATTGAACAGCTTTTCTCATCGTACTCTAGTAAGTCACTGCTGATACTGAGGACAAGTTCCTGGGTAAAATTTTTTTTTTTAATTTCTTAATTAAAAATTAATAATATAAAAGAGAATAGTTTGAAAACGTCATTCCTGTTTGCCTTTATTGTTGAAGACCAGAAAGAAGTCTGAAGAGAAATCCCCTTAACTGCTCAAAACAGAAATGATAAAAACAGAAATAAGCTGAGCAGTTAATTTAACATTCCATGCCAAGAAATGGGTTTTCCTGATTTATTCTAATTTTGTAATGATTAGGCTTTAGTCTAAGATGTTTTGGGCTCGTATTTTTCAATTAAGGCAAATATTAATGAATACTGCCAAATGTAGGGAAAAAAAGGAGGAGCTACAAAATGGGAGAATGTCAGTAAAAACAGATCTTGGAATGTCTTGCTAAGAAGGAACTGGAGAGACAGACAGAAAATATTATATATTCTACCAATGCCAGAATGCTGATCCTAGAAAAAAGGCATGTATCAAGTTGCAGCCCAATTTGAGTATCAAGTTGTAGCCCCCAATTCTTTCTCCTGCTCTTCCCCTGCCAGAATTCTGGTCCATGTGTTACAACCACAATTGACGAGAAGACTGAACAAAATCACCCTTGGTCCTTGCCATAGATAGATGGCAGGAAGTTGTTGGTTCTATGCATATCAGTATGTTTATAGGGAGGAGTGTCATAGGACCCTCTAATGGCCAATATGAGTCACTGCAGCCTTTCTGTTTTCATAGAATAAGATTTCAATTTCAAATGACTTCAAGTATATAGAGAAGACAACATTAGAGTTAATGGCAACTGGAAGCTTACAGTTTTTGTGACTTTGTTCTCATGTACTTAAGTCTTCCCTACTTAATAATATATATTCAGGGAATAGTCTCTGTTGATGATCCAAAAGCAACCTTTGAAGATGCTCTATGAACTGGTTCTAAACCAGGAATTCTTAAAGTAGAGTCCACAGACAACCTCCATAAGGTGTCAGTGGACAAAGTCAAGGGGTCCATGAATTTGGTTGGAAAGAAATTACATTTTTAATTTCACTAATCTCTCATTTAGCTTGTCCTTTGATTATGAATGTGGGCAATAAACCACAGTGGTATTAGTAGTATCTGTGACTTTACTAAGAAGCCCTAGTGGCACAGTGGCTAAAGCGCTCGGCTGCTAACTGAAAGATGAGTAGTTTGAACCCACTAGCCACTCCGTGAGAGAAAGATATGGCAGTCTGCTTCCGTAAAGATTTACAGCCTTGCAAAATTAGCGCATTTCCAGATAAACAGAAGTTTAGGGAATTTGCAAAAATCAAACCAAAATTACAAGAAATACTAAAGTGAGTCCTCTGGTTAGAAAATCAATACCATAACAACCCAAGACTAGAACACAGGGCAGAGCAACCAGTTATCAACTCAGATAGAAAAGTCACAAAAATAAATCAAAGCTAAAACACTGAAAATAGGGAAACACAGATGTCAATATGTCATAGATGACAACATTAAAACAAAAAAGACAGACTAAAAAATGTAGACATAGATTTTTTATATAGAGAGAAAATCAAGGCGATATAAAGAAATGAAAGACTGGTTTAAACTTAGAAAAATAAGGGTAAATATTAAGGTAAACACAAAGGAAACTAACAATCCTACAAGTCAAAATAAAAAACAAGAAAAATATAAAGACTCAGCAAATATAAAATCAACAAAAATGAAAAAGATGAAAAAAAAATAAAAAAGACTGAGTGCAGAAAATTAAGTGGAACAAAGAACTGTCAACAACACATAAAAAAAGACATCAAAATGACAGCACTAAACTCATACCTATCAATAATTACACTGAATGTAAATGGACTAAAAGCACCAATAAAGGGACAGAGAGTGGCAGACTGGATTAAAAAAACACGATCCGTCTATATGCTGCCTACAAGAGACACCTCAGGCTTAAAGACACAAACAAAAACTCAATGGATGGAAAAAAATATATCAAGCAAACAACACTCAAAAAAGAGCAGGAGCAGCAATATTAATCTCTGACAAAACAGACTTTAAAGTAAAATCCACCGTAAACAATAAGGAAAGATACTATATGATGATTAAAGGGTCAATACACCAGGAGGACATAACTACAGTAAGTATTTACGCACCCAATGGCAGGGCTCCAAAATACATAAAACAAACTCCAACAGCACTGAAAAGAGAGAGAGACAGCTCCACAATAGTAGTAGGAGACTTCAACACACCACTTTCGGTTAAGGACAGAACATCCAGAAAGATGCTCAATAAAGACACAGAAGATCTAAATACCACAACCAACCAACTTGATCTCATAGACATATACTGAACACTCCACCCAACAGCAGCCAAGTATACTTTCTTTTCCAATGCACATGGAACATTCTCCAGAAGAGACCACATATTAGGTCATAAAGCAAGCCTTAGCAAAATCCAAA